ATGCTCTCGATCTTCGTACTCGATTATGTAATCACTTCAATATATTGTTTAAAGTTAAAAACAAATTATATTATAAGTCTGACAGAGTGATTGTTAACATTATTAATATATATAATTGTATATTATCTTACTAAAAGTATTGTAATTAACTTACAAGCACAACATATTACTTTTATGACTATTATAATCAATCAACCATTGTTACAAATAACTTAGAATATAATTTTAGCATATTATAATAGGAGTTGAGTACTTGTACCTCACATGTAATGTTGTAATAATACTATTAGTAAGCTTACTTACTCTAAAACATGTTTGTAGTTTAATAGAAACTTTGTATATTTCTTACATTTATATACAATCATTATAATTACATTACAAGTGAAATACAAGTATTATTTTAGAATGTAATGCTTATGAAATCATTTTATTAGTTTACTTTTGCTATTATTAAATACATTTGTTACGACTTTTTCGTGATGACTAAAGGGCTGCTTTTCAGCGTCTAATGCATACATCCAAACTCTTACTATTCTCTTCCTTCTCTACTGAGCACTCGGTATCTCCTAGTCTAAAGCTCCACCTCCTGACATCCCTAGCTACTTAACAATACAACAGAATCTACCTCCCAAGTCCTCATCCCTGAGTACCCCAACAACTGTTTCGCAGGAAGCGAGTCAACTCCAGGCATAGTAAAGCGTGAGGACATCGCGAGGACTATCATACACGTGAAGTGCAGCGAAGCCGAACGCACGCCCAATTCAAGTGAGCCGATTAAACACTTTGGAAGGTTCCGAGAAGTACTATTATCGGAGGATGTACGCCTCGAGCGTCTAACATCCTGTTTTTGTCTTTCTGCGCGCCTAATGTGGCGTATCCTATACTAGGAAAATAGGCGCCGCGGTCCGTTGTTAACAGACGCCTTGCCGCGCTCGACGGGGACTGCGACACAAGCGTTGTGCGAATGAACTTCTGATGTCGAGGCTACGGAGGCAGTAACAGGTGTTTGTATCCTCCATGAGGCTAAGGGGTAGATGCTAAGCGCCAATGACGCAGTATGACTGCAATTAATGTTATTGTGCACCCGGAAATCCATCAACTTGGTACCGGAGAACCCTCATCATATCCCCTTTTCGTATTCTATCTTACTCTATCAGAATGAACGATAATATTTTTTCTTGACGGTACTGCAATAGAACTCGTCACACAAATGTGCAACTTTCAAATGGAGAAAGATAATTGCATGACTATGAATACCCTAAACTCAACATTACACCATGACGTCCGTTCATAATGGAGCGCCTGTTCGAAGCAGGGCGCTTGCCGCTTGCTTCCTAACTTGACTTATGGTATACTGAGATTCCTCCGACGCACTCTTCTAATTCGCGAAGTGGCGTGCCGAACTTCGAGTTCCAAGCTCCGATACAATGGGGGCTCAGTGAAGTAGACAAAGTCTTGTTTCAAAGCTATCTTTGATGGGACGAAAGGTGCTCGGCGGCTATGATAGAGTTACAATAGAAGAATTAGGAAGGAATGTTGGCATGAAGGACTTCTAGTGACCCTGTAGAAGTCGAGGTGCTATCAAGTTAAGGCCAATTCCCAAGCTTAATTCAATTTCGGTAGTCTAAACCACGGGTCAAGCGTCGCGAATCCTGATTGTGCATTGCTTGAGTGACGAGAAGTAGGGGAAGGAAGGGAAGCACTGTGCGAAGACATCTGGATGGACAGGGAAGTCAGACGGAACAACTATCGGCTTGGCGCCTGTCTAGAATACATAGTACTAGTAGTACGGTAAACATAGACATGCTTATACAATATACTGAAACTGCGGCATTTCTCGTTCTGTGAAGACTATGACTTTCTTGGACGCGCAATTCGGGCAATGCAGTGACCCCGGAAGTCGCTGGATATTTGGGTTGAGCAACAAAGTTTACCGGTAGCTAACATGACTCGGCTGTATAAGTAGGAAGTCAGGGCCTGTTAATCCTGGCTTGTTGAGTACGTACGGATCAAGGTTCGCAAAGCGATTCAGCCTCCTAAACTAAGAGCCACCTACTGTTGTGATACTCGTATATTCAGGTCAAAGAGAGATATCCTGTACGAATTGTCAATCTAAGCAAACAACATTAAGATTGTTTACGATCCACTGACGTATTCTAGGTACACATATCGAAGATTCAATAAAAGCTCAAGGTCCGGAAATGTGCTGAACAAGTAATCAAGTAAACACGTAATGTAGGTGCAGGATCATTTGTGGACCTACAGGGACACGCTGCGACTAAGTCCAGAGTCGCCTGTACTAGACCATACTAGACTCAGGATCATCATCGGCAGAGGTGCGATCATTTTGCTCCGGCGGCTCCCTGACAAGTTCCATGTCCTTCAGTACGTTACACGTTTACATATCTGGTCGTAGTCGTTGTTGGTGGCGCAGACTATAATAGCGTACAGTCTCTTGAATGTCGGAACCAGGTCTGATGTGTTGAAGTCGATCTGGGGACGGAATCGAACATCTGCATTCCTGCGCTATTTCATGATTTATGATTAATGAGTTGCGAATATGTGAAGGGTGAGTCAAGCTATGAGCGCATAGTGAATGGATTGAGAAGTATTGATACTAATAGACGCTTCCTAAAATGGGGTCAGTCAACGTCATGAACCTAGCCTGCAGACTCATTCAGCACATCTCAGTGCAATCCAACTAACAAGCTGAGTCAAAAAATCCGCACAACGCACCTGCACGAATTCGCAATATGTACGAATGGGTTTATGGGCCTGGTGGCCACAATCAAAATGAGGCTTTTACGGACATTGCATAGCGACGGATTGTGAAACAGGTCCACCGCGGATCAAAATACGATTTAGAGTACACGGAATGCATGGGATTGTGAGCCTTGAGCCCTTAATGCGCACGACAGGAATCCATATGAAGGGTCGGAGAACTCGGGTCTCGACGTCGGCAAATGGTCAGACTAGACGGGGAAACGGTTTACGCGTTTCTAGCAGAATGCTACCGATGCAATCTAAAACTTGAATGAGAGCGACGAGGGGCTCAACATAATGAAGAAACCCTAAACTAATATCAATAGTTGAGAGAACGGTAGCAGATCGATAACTCGGAATTGAACAAACCTATCAACCCATACGTTTTTGGTAGCGTGCTGCAAATAGGAGGGCGCAAGATCCGATGAATGATTAACTATAGAAGTTGGTGGTGACGGGGAGGTTGCTGCAATGTAGGGTCGGGCGATCAGGGGTCCCACGAACGAAGCATGTGTTCAAGCTGAGTGGATCGTCCCTAGACACTTCTCCGTCTCGACGAGCCCCAAAGTGAGCTATGCAAACGGGCTTGAAGTGGAATGAAGATAATGAGTCTGACCATTCAAGATCATCTTCTGTCCTAAACGATGAGGATCCTCACCACTCGAAGAAGAGCCGGATCGTCAGAAGACAATCGGATGAAATGTTGCATGTTGCGAAGTCAGGCAATATACGATTCCGACTGAATAGACGGATTCGCGGGAGCATCATGCTATACCTAATTGGCTACTGTGTTTTGCCTTGTGCTTGAGGTTCCAGTAGAATCGGACCGAGGAGTGAATTGATTCGCCGTAACATTCTGCAACGCTCTCATGTTCATCCGGCCGACAGTCGAGCTTCGGATGCTTTGCGTTTGGCCAATAGCGGGGTTGCCGGAGCAGAACGGCGACCTCAACTTGGACGAATCAAAATGCCATCAATAACTTGAATGAATTCAAAAATGTAAGCTCGCGTCGACGCGTTCTGCGCACGTGACACTGACCTTGGTGACCTCGGTGGACTTTCTTCAAGAGGAGAGGGTACACTTTGTGAATGCTTCTAGCTCACTGAGTATGTCCTCGTTGTCTCCGAACTGCTATCTCCTAATGGCGACCATCTCGGGGTCTTTCGCACTCAATCTATCGGTGGATACATTCCAATTCATGACACCGTTGTTCGGGTTCCTCCGAGGACTCGGGTTCGGAGAGCTTGTTCTTTTCGATCATCTATGATGCTGGCTTCCTGTGGACACGAGCAGCGCGAGCGGTATATTGTGCCTTTCTTTACCAGTGATTCATAAGGAGGACGATGTTCACTCCCTCAAGAGTGTTCTCCGAGCCTCCCTAATTCCTCTCTCACTGATGCGGACTAAACTCGGAAGAGACTTCTGGTTCCGGAACTAGCCTCTCAAGATCTAGAAGTACAGGATAGATCTGGTCTAACGTTGCGGCATCAGCTATTCTGACGAGCAAGCATCATCTGTGGCGTTTAGCAATAGCAATGGCAGCGCCCGCGAAACCCGCAGTTGATGAATGAGTTGAAGAAGCGCTTGAGAACAACACATGTGCTGACATGAATAGCTGGACAGAGAAAGACGAGGGCTTCGAACTGTGATTGAGTTTTGAGCCCCGTGTCGCGCTTCAGGTTTGGATTCCTTTCCGGATCGAGTGAATATTCGGTGCCTTCGGTGCCAACTTACATCGGGAACTTGCTTGCTCGACGCATCTACAGGAGCAGCGACGGTAAAGCAATGATGCCTATTGCGGATTACAGTTCAGTTACAACCTGGATGAAGATACAGCAGATCATGACATCGTATTGATCTTACGAGGTGTATGTAACGCCTTCGTGTTCCATAACTATCTCCCCAGCTTGCTGATCGTCACCGGCATCATCACGTCTCACCTCGACAGGTAGCTATTTGTACCATCTACGGTAGTTCCCGTGTCATAAAGGTACTTTCAACCATCCTTGTCCGTGACCCTGGTCCGTTAGCACCTCTTCTGTTCGCGCGCATTGTCGCGGATCTCAAGACTAATTACGGATGTGTCCATGTCGAATTGCTCCTTCCCACTTGCCCCTGTACCTTGTTCTTGTTCTTGCTTGCCGTGTTCCAACCATGCCCGTATCATCCGCGATTACAGACTTCTCTGTCACACGACGTACTCCCTGGCCTCGGCCATGGTGCTTTAGCAGTTCTTTCCCAAACGTGAAGGTCTTCGATGTGCCTCACGAACTTGGCACGAGATGCGCGTTCTACCCCCCTTGATATTCCTATTCGCATTACTGTGAAGACATCTGAGTTCAATGTCTGTGTGCGAGTCTGAGGTTAAGCATTATCGAAGTTACTAATGAGCATTGCACAGTCGTCACCCGTCATTTCAAAATCCCGAGCCAACCGCCGGCGAGGATATTTCTACCACCTGGCTTCCCATCGGCACTTTCTATGCCTTTGCTTAGAACACGCCTTTTTTTGAACTTGTGGGCGACTTCTGGCTGGCTGATGACGCCGTTTAGATGTTTCATTTCTGAATGACTTTCCTTCCTTTCGCTGTTCCGTTTTGTCTTCCCGTCGGCATTCACTGTATTCTTCCCATCTGGAATACCTCATCACCTCCCGCTCTCATGCAAATGCCAAGCCGGACTCGGCCTATTCATTCTGTGGATGCCTCCGAGACTTCCATACTTTCGGCCTCGCTCGGTATCTTTTCTTCACGTGCCTTGCCATGCCCGTGTTAATTAAAGAATAGAAGAAGTCGAGCTGCACGTATAGAGAGAAACAGTGCCCATAAGGTGCATAGAGCGAATTGAAGCTGTACGTACCTGTTTACTTATGTTCCTGGAGGCTAACTGGCTGCCTCCCTGGAGTCTGGTGACTTTCTCGTGTTTTCTACCGAATGCCGCATTCTGTTTGCCGATGTTCCCCTTCTGTCCGAGGAGAAAAGGTTCAACGGTTTATATTCATATGTGAATGGAATTCACTTATACTTCGGGATAGCTTCCCCTTGGTTCCTGAAATTCTTGGTTTGCGTTTCATGGTATGCCGAGCTCACTGTTGCATCGATGCTTTTAAATGGGATCCACATCATGGATTTCTATGTAATTTGGACGTGTTTAGACACGCGACATGAAGCTTGTACATAGTTTACGTTTATCACTAAGTTCAAACTACCATTTCTTTATCGAGTCTTCGTCCAGAACGGTGCGTCCTCGCGTTACCGTATAACAGTCATAGTCTTCTGCGTTGCGGTCCTTTGTACATTGTACGCATTGTATACTTGTGTACCGGATTACGGCTTTGAGAAATGTAAGTTGTGTAATTCTAAACCGAGGTCTGACTGCCCGCTCTATCTGTAAGAGGATACACATCAGTGATCTAAGGTGTAGTATATGCAAGTATACCAGTGCCGTTTACGACAGTGTTGGTGGTAATTGGATATAGGAAATGAAGTGTAGAAAACTGTCTATCAATTCTAAAGCTTAAACATCAATTTCCTGTATTTCTCTTCTTTTGCCAGATGCATCTGCTTTACTAGTAGAGGTAGAGGTCTGCAATGGTGGCTCACTCCCGTTGAGCGGAGCAAATACAGCGAGACAAGTAGTCACGTTCTTTATAAAAGCTACCTTAAGCCGTTATCTGTGAGATAAATAAATGACGGGAAGGTGAGTTAAATCTACATTAGTTCAGCAGCTGAGTCTGTGAGCGTCAAACATCTCTCGCTCGTACTCGCACTTCAGTCTGGCCCTGCTTTTCGAATATGCCCAGCATATCGTCATTAGGATGAATCTGCTAGTAATGAAAATATATTAAAGAAATAAACACAACAGAATATGCGATGTGTCCGTATCGTCGAGCTTCCGGTTCCAATCAAAATAATTTAAAGCAAAGCGTAGGGAAAATAAATAGGTGAGAAAGCCCGATAAATGCAATACATGTGAGAAAGTATGTGATGAGAATGAGCGAGAAAGGGGAGTGATGCGATCCGGATAAACGGAAGAAAATCCAGGAAATTGAGTCTAAGAGGTTGGTGCTGTACTTCGGTAAGGTGGTTGCACTTCGTCTATGAGCTCCGTTCTATTGGGTATACGACATGGAGCGTTGCGGCGGTTAGGCATAATTGACACTTTGCGGGCGCGACACAGGATCAGTCATCGGAGCGTATGCGTTTGCTCCAGCCATCGCGGGCGTGAACACCTTGTCCATGCATGCTCTCTTCCTCCGCGCACGAAGACGTGAGAAGATGAAAAAGGCAACTGCAGCTAGCAGTAACAGACCAACTACAGACACCGTGATGAAATGCCAGGACTTGTAATAAGGGCCGTTAATCCTGATGTTGTTGACTTTACGGGGTGGACTGCTTAACAAGCTGATGTAGACCCGCAAGTGCGTCGCATCTCTTCTTTCAGCGTCAAGAGAGCGAAGAGGTGAAAAGGGATGGAGCAACAACCAAATCAAAGTGTTTCCATGAAAAAATACCATATTTACTCTGGGTATTTTTTTCCCCTTGATGAGTGGGACGCAGATGGGTTGAAGGCGATGTGATCACGGTAAACGTTATAATCGAGATCGGTGAGGGAGAAAAAGCACTACATACGTTCCTTACTTCCAAGCCTGGCTTTCCATGTCTTTTTCTCAAGTTACTTGGTGCAATTTGGATCTACGAGAGTGTTCGGTGGTACCTTTATGTAAGGTGTTGAGGAGAGAGCCGAAGTTACGTTGAAATTCAGCAGCTGAGTCAAAATGTGGCAAGTAAATTCCATATTATCACGGCTATGTGTGACGGTGCATTATGCGCCAACCACAGCAACAGGTGCGAAGCTTTCTCCGTTGCATCGGTCTCCCGAATTTCTTCGGGAGCATGCTCCGACAGATTCAGTTTGTCAACTGCTTCCGCAAGAGTCTTGCCATCCAAAGTGCTCTTTTCGTCCTTTGCATTGTCAGCGCTCGAAACGTCGTCCGAGTTTGTCTGTGAATCCGATTCCGATTCGGCATACAGTACTCGGTCATCATCGTCCGCATCATCTTCAAAGTCGAGCTAAAAAGAATACAGATTACGTGGAAACACAAGTTAGCAAAATAAATATCAAAAGACGAAGTAATGAAATCAGATGGAATAGGAGTTGCTCACCGGGTCATAAACGACTCTAACCATCAGACTGCAGCTAGGGCAAGTTGCAATATCCTCATAGTTTGCGAGTTGTGTGCGCGAAATCTCGAACCTGTCACCACACGGACAAGGATAGTGTTAAACGCCCTTCTCTTCATTCCATGCCATGTCCTCGATCTCGATTTCGTCATAATATGCTCCCTTTTCCTGAGTCAATCTTGTTTCGCCTCAACAAAGGAGGTATTTCGGATATAAGTGGGCCTTTTGATACAGAGATGCTTAATTAGAATATAGTCTGTTCGAAAAACAGCGGAATGATGCGGAAGTAACAGAGCAAAGAAATGAGCGATGAAGATGACTTACTGTAATCAGGCAATCACGTGATAGGTGTCACCTGACGTCCGTGGATTCAGACTCACTGACTCGGCAAGATTTTTTATTTTATTTCATTTTTCAACTGCATGGTCTACCATGTATCTAATGGAGTAAACTCTATGTTTAATTCTCATAAAACCTATCTCTGTTAGTTTGCATTATCTGTGCTATCGAATCGGCTGACAGCCTCACACGAAAAAAGCCTCGACTAACTTAGAGCCCTAAACATATAATTCAATATTGTAGGTTCATTGCGCTATTCCAACTTTATCTTGATCTCAGATCTACGGTGTACAATTGGACATCCTTTGTGGATCTATCGCCTCTCTTGGTGCGACTTGTCATAACCGTCGCTCTCTGTGGCGCCCTACGCGTGATCATCCCGTTGTAACAGAGCTGCATCTTTGTTTTCAACAGGCAGCAATGGACTAATAGCGATGTAGAAGGAAATACTAGGATGTCTGTGTTCCTTTTACCCTGAATATGTCCGTTTTACCCCCTATTGATAATACCGGTATGTTGCTTTCAAAGAATGTATAGACGACGACGCATGCTCATCGACAGCATTCAGTAAAGTCGCTTATCGATACAGTATATCCGGTGGATGAAACGTCCAGTTTTATCCCATTCAGCGGAGCAATACCCTTTGACCAGCGCGTACGCAGGATCAGAATTGCTGGTATGGAATTCCACCGAGAGCAGAAGTGACACTGTACCACAAGGCGTGTACGGTTTAAACACTTTTCCCTGGACATTAGACGTTATGTGGAAAGATGAAGACAGTGCATCGACGAGCCGTGACAGGATAGCCCACCTTCTAATAAGAATTTCTGGTTATTACCTCGAGGGTGGCTCGGATGTTTCATCTACTCTCGCGGTAAATGGATTGTGGCGAATTTGTCTTCACACCGATCCAGCGCTGATGAGAGCGGAGAATCTGTCGACTCAGATTCCTTATAGAACACCATGTGAATACGTTCTTTCAAGAAAGGTTGGTCTTTGACTTTCAATAGGTGATGAAACGCCTCGACTAACGTTATTGCCTCTCGGCATTGATTTGGCCGTCTTCTCGAGCAAGCGTGGACTACAGCACACGGCGCATTGAATAGAACTCACCTTGTGCTGGCATATCTTGACAGATTGCACAAGAAGTCGAGTTTCATGCCATCTATTGGCTCGATACCATTCAAATTTCACCACTTTCATTCTTCACGTTTTGAATAGGAAGCTCGACTCTAACTCTATAGAGTACGCCGTATCTCGGAACACCCGTAAGTTTATGTCGTACGATGCATGCTTGCGCTGTCGCATTCTTGGATGAACTTTAATTCTCGGGATTGTCAACCGTCACCATTTCCGGGGTTTTGAGAGTGGGTGTCGAATGCCTTAAACTTGTCCTGGGTCCATACTTAGAGCAAATCGATAAGGTTTTCAAACTCGCATGATCGTTGAATCCGCTTCACTGAAACCTACCTGTCTGTTGTAGGGTGACCAGGTGCATCTTCCGACTTGGTGCAACGCCTTCCATGCTTTCGCCGGAAGATGTGTCAGATCCTCCCTTGACGGTGATCCCCCCCGCCTCCCCTCCGAAAAAGGTATCAAAGATAATCTTGGTGTCGGAAGAACTTATAACTTTTTCAAGCCAAAGCTTTATTTCAGCCTGATGGCTCCTTATGTCGGCTTGTCACTAACCGTTCACATGTTTCATCCAACAGCACTGTCTGGTGTCCACAATGTATTCTCCACCTCCGCGATTCCCCGGCGACCAGAGTCTCATACTAACTGTGCGTCACTTCTGGCGCTGCAGAAAAGGCAGTCTTAAGGACTATAACACCTCCGGCCCTTTCATTTCCGTGTCATGTGAATGGATCTCCTCAATGATCCTGGCATGAATTTATAATTCCCGACTCGGTGTCTACGCACTCTCTAACGGAGCATGGTGCCTGTTAAGCAATCTAGGCGCAAACCCCTTCACTACTTCCTGCAACTCTCTCGCCCCGGTATGTCCCTTATTTAGTTGAGATATGTCAAGGGCTTCTGCGCAGTTTGTGAAGGGTCGCCGGACGGTCCAAGCTGGGGTCATGCCAAGGAGGAGCGGTGGCTCCCGGTGAGGAGCAAATGCGTTTGTCCAGAGTGCAGACCGTAGCCCGTGTCCCTAGTATAGAACATACTAGCACAACTACGTCAGCTCCGCAGCACTGTCTTGCTAACTAACTTTTCACCGCCGCAAAGCACCCGGAGGTGTGGCGGAGTCATCGACGGCGTCCACAATCCGACGCTTCTTCCCGAGCCCGACGCCCGAACTATTTCCTTTTATGGATATTCATGCGCTATTTTTATAACTAATGTGAGTCCAAACACATAGGTGAGTGTACCGCATAACGATGCTGAATGGGTTAAATTCGAGAACAATCCTGAATGTGCTGTAAAGTGTGGCCTGGCCGGATATGCTCCGGTCCGGGTCAGTTCAGGGTTTTAATTTGATAGACAAAAAATCGAAGCATGTGAATCATGTTTAGTAGAGGTAGAAGTCTGTCATGGCGGCTCACTCCTGTCGAGCGGAGCAAAGCTGGCGAGACGAGTAGTCACATTCCTCTTACAAAAGCTACCTTAAGCTGTTATCTGTGAGGCACAGTAAATAAATGACGGGACGGTGAGTCAAATCTACATTAGTTCAGTGTCAAATATCTCGTGCATACCCGCAGTTCAATCCCGCCCTGCTTTTAAATATGCGCAACATATCGTCATAAGGATGAACCTTCTAGTAATGAAAATACAATAAATAAATAAATATAACAGAAAATGCGATGTGTCCGTATTGTCTAATAACTTAAGGCAAAGCGCAGGAAAAATAAATATATGAGAAACGCCAGATCAATGCAATACATGTGAGATGGTATGTGAAGAGAATGAGCGAGAAAAGAGGCTGATACAATCCAGATAAATAGAAGAAAATCTATAAGTCTAAGAGGTCGGTGCTGTATTTCGGTAAGATTGTTGCACCTCGTCCATGAGTTCCGTTCTATTGGGTATACGACATGGAGTATTGCGGCGGTTAGGCATAATAGACACTTTGCGGGCGCGACACAGGATCAGTCATCGGAGCGTATACGTTTACTCCAGCCATTGCGGGCTTAAACTCCTGGACCATGCATGCCCTCTTCCTCCGCGCACGAAAACGTGAGAAAATGAAGAAGACAACTGCAGCCAGCAGCAGCACACCAACTACAGAGACGGTGATGAAATGACAAGACTTGTAATAAGGGCCTTTAATTCTGTTGTTGACTTTACGGTGTGACCTGCTTAACGAGCTGGTGTTAGCATCCGCTTTCGTCTGGGGAGAATGTTTCGCTTCGCTTTCGGGAAGCAGAGCTGGTTGCGAGCCAGTCTTATCTAATCCACCTAGACGCGCATTGACAAAATCCTTGTGTGCCGCCGCTGGGCCAGTCACAGAAAGAAGTTGAATATATGGATCTGCGACGGAGGTGTTTGAACCGTCAACGAAGTCTCCAAAGTTGATCAATAAATAAGCGTTTCGCACTGTCGAATAATTAGTAGGACATTTGTGAGTAGAAGTGATAACTTACAAAACGCCATGCCGAGTATCGCGTCGATCCCTCCAAACCGTGTATGATCTGCGACAGATGGCGGAATTTGTTGGAACTGAAACAGACTTCAGTTAACTGAACGAAGGCAAGAACTGCTAATACGTACAGTTGACATGCAGGTCGTGAGTTTTTCAGAAGAGTCGCCTTGCTCAGGCATAGTTAAATCCAAGGGTGCAATCGGATACTTGACTCCACCAAAGGAGAAAGTGACGTTCAGCTCATAGTCGCAAGGCACTCGCCAGTAACCCGGAGATTCAGAACCGTCCTGAGTAACAAACACCGCACCCGGCACACGTCCGTAGATAGCATCTGAAATCTCCCTAGAGACCGGCGGGAAACTGTAGCCTGTGTCGAACATGACGTGCAACTGGTTGGTGGTGCCCTGCTTCGGGTCAGGAATGGATGTCTTCGTTAACAAGTTCTCGCCATCAGGTCCTATTATCCCATCCTCGTCAAGTAATGTTTGCCAATGCTGGATACCAAACTCGTCACGGAGAGCCGATAGCTTCTTCTGTTTCGTAATATCCTCAAGCTTTGGAATGACGGATCCGATGGTCAGTTGACCTGTCTGTGATGCTGTGCTCCCGGACTTCCCATCTGTCTGGCGACTGAGAAGGACGGAAAGGAAATTTGGTGTCGAAGCATTCTGGAGGAAGATCCGGTCAAGTGGAGGTGCACCAGCAGTGCCGTTGATTTTTGCAAGGATTTCGGAGGAGACGGCCGGCCCCAGCCCGATTAAGCCGCCGTTTTCAGGCGTATCGGGGGGAGGAATGGCGTTAACTTGGGGACGAAGATTAAGGGGAAAGCTCTGGGAACTTAAGTTGCCTGAACGACATACTATAGGCTTGGTCTTTGATTGTGAAATCGCCAAATACCATATCGGCTGTGTTGATAAACCCTAGATGAATCACTCAATATAAAGTAGAAAACTACAAGTAATGGAGACGATTTACCTTTTGCTGATGAATCTACATAATCTACTTCGGCCTCAATGCTGAGGTTTTTCGTATTAGGTACGTCTCCAGAAACCCATAAGTCGGAGCTTTATCAAAACGGCGTCAGCTATGGCTCGTGTTTCGCCGAATCTGGACACGTACCTTCCGGTGTCAATCTCGACCGAGAACTCCGTGCCACCAAGTGTGATGTTGGTATAATAGCTCATGTCGCCATGGTTGTATACTTTCGTGCTCCCATTTCCGAAGGCCCCAATGTCGACAGATCGTTTGCCTAGCAAACTCGAAAGGGACGATCGAGACCGTCCAGCGATAGGGAAAGAAACCGCTTCGACCGAGGTCACCATGAAGAGTGCACCAGTCAACGCACCGAATGTGCCAGAGAGACCTGTCACTTTCATGTCGAAAGAAGAACGTTAACGGGAGAAAGTGTGGAAAGAGGTATAGAAAAAACATTTTTCGTCTATGTTTTTTATACAGCACATGAATGAGAGAGTGATAGCACATCGCATGGACACTGTTTGAGTCTCATCATCGCTGTGCAGTGCAAGGAACCATCCATGTCTTTCGTGTTACGGGGAAGCACAGGTCATGAATCACCGCTCAGAGCGTACTTCGTGCATGCCGATAATGAATTCTCTTTCGTCCTGCAATTTCTTGCGTGTTGTCGAACCTTCACTTAATTACTTGTCTAACAATTGTGAGAATATACGGAATAATCAATGTTGCGAATAATCCTAACCTATCCGCCGTTTTCAGCCTTTTCACGTAGTATCTGAAGCATTTGGGAACACTGACCAATAGCAGTTCGATACTACAGAGAGCTTGTTGCAAAATAGGGAAACATTAGTGACATAGAAATGTGACAGCTCTGCATAGCGCACCAATGCAATGCTGTAGAGATACCTCAGGAGGCACTCACTAAGACATTGCAATTACTATCTAGCATTACACCGGTTCATTGCAATTACTATCTAGAAGAGACTGAGACTTACAAGCATTTTATATAATCGCATGCATGACTGTGCAATTAGGAACCGATCAAAGACAACCATCACCTGTTCGTCACCAACAGTGCTAGAGACATTCATACTGTACTGTTTCATGGCATGGCAAAGCGGTTCGTAGTCTTTTTCCAAACCACGATAGAGAACGGAACATCAGCGCCTTCCGCACCAATAATATGAATAATCCCAACGCAGATATACAGGGAATGGTTCAGGTCCATCAGGCTTCCTAATTATTCATCGTTATGCTGAAGTCTAGTGTTGCCGCATCCGAGTAAAGTTCATGGCGAATGAAGTCTCGGATAGTCGCGATAACTAAACGCGGAAGTGGTTTAATGAGACCCTGGGTTCTCACATTCCATTCAGAACAGTATTTTTTAAATAAAATAAGAACGGAAATACAACTCACGTGTAGACTCGCAAGTGCGTCGTGTCTCCTCTTCCAACGTCAAGAGAGCCAAGAGGCGAAAAGGGACAGCGCGTAATATGCTGAATCAAAGTGTTTCCATGAAAGTGCCATCGATATCAGTACTTTTTCCCCTCGATGACTGGGGACAGATGAGCTGAAGACGGTGTAATCACGGTAAATAATCGAGATTGGTGAGGGGGAAAAGCACGACATACGTTTCTTACTTCAAAGCCTGGTTTTCCATGTCTTTTTCTCAAGTCACTTGGTGTAATGTGAATCTTCAAGAGTGTTTGATGATTCCTTTATGTAAGGTGTCGATAGAGGAGAGTCGAACTTACGAAATTCAGCAGCTGCGAACATGTGGCGAGCGTTTCTCACGCTTACATTTCGTCAACAAAACAAAACAATCACTGGCAACGATTCACCTCTGTCTAGTTTCTTCGAGTATAGATAACAAACTGTCGCGAGAATGAACATACTGATATAGTCAAGTATAACAGCGTGATAAATGCTGAAGAATATATTGTGCGTCCGTATTTCCCAAATTGCGAATCCGATCAAGAGACATGAGAACGAAACTGGAAAAAAATGAATGTTATTTAGTAAATCAGGATTAGAAGAGAAGGAGGTTGTAGCAGCAGGTTATTCCTGTCGTGTGGATTAAATATAACAAGATATTATTGACTGTCTCTCGCAAAAAAAGGTACGACGAGTCCACAGAGAGCATAAGTTGTTTACTTTGCACCTGTTATAATATTGAAAATTAAGTACGCGACGCGAGGAAATCACGTGCACGGTTACGTGTTTCATAAAGCAACTTCACGACGTTCAGCATTGAGCAAACATTGTTTCCACTGCATGGCCATGAGCTAGACCCTCATGTTTGACTTTACTCGTCTCCTACTTGCACCTGAACCTCTATTACTCCTTGTGTTGCAAGTTGTATCATCTTTGGCTCAATCTAACACTCTCGTGCTCAACCAGTCTCTTACCCTCGATACCGCGAATCTAGCGACTTCGACCTTCTCTCTTCCACAATCGTCAACGTCTTGGTTGTTCATTTCTGTTGCACTTTGTAACGGAGAAACTTTGGTCTCTGGTGGAAATGAGCCACGGTTCTTTGTAACTAATAACTCTGCTGTGACCAACCCGGGACCAAGCTCGACCGACAGCGATGTGTTTGAAATCATTCCAGGAGGCAATGGGATGGGCAATTTCACGCTTCATGGAAGTAGTGGAGGTGTATTCTCAATAACCTCTGGGAACGCAAGGCCAATTTTAGAAGTGGGAATATCAGATACTGGTAAGTTGTCTTTAGAGTATGCCATCCCAGAAGATTTCCGACCAAGACGATAGAACCTTTACATCAACATCTCAATTCACTCCCTCTCTTGGGTGATACGACCGCGAACCAAGTACTTCTATTTTCTACATCGTTCTCTCCAATCACTTTCGAGGAACCGACATACCCCAATTATACCCTTCCCGACGCAAATTTGACTGTACCCAATCCGCCTACGCAGACTCCGAATTTCACACTCCTTGTCGGACCAACTAACTCGTTTCCGGAATTCAATTATACGACGAATGCCTTCGTTGATGGATCTCCAATAACGGGATGCGCTTTGGCGAATCGACCGGGCTTGACCGTTAATACAGGGTCTAACACCGGAAATGTGCAAACAAAACTTGTGCTACGTGACTTCAACGGATGGCGGACACAGTGGCTAGCGGGTGGGCTGGACCCGCTGACAAACTATACCGCCTTCGTATTGCAGGACAATACGAAGGTCTCTGGTCCAATTAATTTCGTGACCAAGTCAGGTATGTCTCTGACCAAGTTCGAAATATTATTACGAGTCTAATTTAGGATAGCATCTTTCTCTTGTCCACTCGTACACTCTTTACCGTACTGCCCCTTGGTGTCTTACGCAGTAGCGCTACCACCTCCCCAAGGGCAACCTGGAACGGAAGCATATGATGCGACAACGCTCCCCAATAGTATCTCTGGCCCTATTGTATCTTACATGTCAAATTTCACGACCTCGCTCCTCACGTTCGCATGTGGACGTGATTGGTACTCGTCTATAGTAGGTTGCCCGGATTGTCAAGCCGCTTACCGCACTTGGCTGTGTACTGTGCAGCTTCCGCGATGTAGCGAATTTCCATCCAATACCAGCACGTCCAATGTTGCTGCTCCCAGAAATAAACGCAGCTTCTGGCGACGTGATGACTCTGCTCAAACGACGTTCGTCGCACCCGCACTCGTGGAGCAAAACGCGACAGGCCCGGTACGAAACACGTCGCTTCCCACGTTTTCTGGAAATTGGACACAATTACTGCCATGTCTTGAGACATGCAATGCGGTGGAGAGAGCATGTCCACCTTTCCTCAACTTCAAATGCCCTATACCGCGTTTCAACGCTGACGAGAGTTATGCTGTCGGCTTCATTGATGGTGACGCTGCTAATCCGGGTGGCGAATGGTTAGTGCATGGAGGGACGACGGGGACCGCTCAGGACAGGTGGGGAAATGTGTGGTGTAATGGACCTGGACTCAATAACTAGGCATGTAGTTGTACATTATTCTCAATTTTGTGTATCAATTTAGAGATTATCAGAGTACTATTCGGGTACTATAGTTTGATTAATGTGTGATTATGAGATTACGGAAGCACATTCATTAATAGTACTTCGAAGGATGATACGTTATGATTCCTTCGGTATCACCTGCCTTCACCCTTTGTCGTGTAATATCGTATCGTGAGATGTGCATCGCTGTTTTCCACGAGACATTGAAAACTGTGGTCAGTCAGACTGCCGGAGTGAACACGGCTTACCTAATTTCATGTTGGATTTGGCTTTCCTGCGTCTTGGTGTCTTAGTTGTAATCTACCTGTGGGTCCTACCATATTACCATAACTCTCGATCCATCACGAGCCAGAGAGATCTCCGATGCTGGCGTATAGCTGATGGAAGACAGAAATAATCCTATCAGTCAAGGCCTGCAGTCCAACGTTACGGCGCAACCTGTGGAGGTTTCGTCCAGCCAAGGAGACGTTGAAACTCGACCTTTCCCTAGGGTACCTCTCGAAATTCGCATCCTCATCTTTGAACACGCTGCCTGTGAATCTAAAGCTGCTGCTGCATCTCTCGCGCTCGTGTCGAAGTTCTCGCGAGCTATTGTGTTGCCGTTCTTGTTCCATACACTCATCATCCAACAGAGAAACAGAACCTTTGAGCTCGTGCGATTCTTGCGAGGACAACCCGACATAGCGGTACATATTCGTAATATCTGGTGCAGACGGAGCATAACAGAGGATTGTGTGCTACCTTTATCTTGCCCACAATTGGAACGCATTGCCATCTCAAGTTGCTGTTTCAGTGCACTCTGTCACCTGGATGTACGAGGACTTGGCCGCGCCTTTAAGGAATTTATTCCATGGACAATCGAAGGGCCGGCTTATGCCTCCCCTCATGAGCTGCTAATATTCCCTGGTTTCGTTGCTTGGCACAATCATGGTCTAAGAGGGTTTATTGCGCTTTCCTCGCGACTGAACCGTCTCTGGTTAAGTCAAACTGTCCAACTTAATGTTTTGCTCTATCATAAAAATGCTGTGGCTGTTTTGTCGCACCTTACGCATCTAGCAACACCTATAGCCGGGCCCAACGCGGAAACCACGGTTCGGAATGTATTCAATGCGTTTCCCGATCTGACGATGTTCGTTATCATGCCTCGGCTTCAATACGATCCAGGATGTGTAACCCACAATCTTCGGGGTTCCGAGGACGTGCGTTATACGGAAGAACAAACGATCAAGGACCTTCACGGCTCGTACGATAAGCGGGTACACGTTTTAAACGCCTCAGGCCGGTTTACAGAAGACTTTCTGTTCTCGTTGTGGAAAGGACAAGAGTCTAAAATTTGGGATCCAAGGATGTACCAGTAGCAGACGCCAAACAGGGGAAATAGGACATCTCTTTTTTCTTGTTTTTGTTTTTGTTTTTGGGTTGCATCTTCGTTTCCGTCGGAACTATGGTTACTTTGATGTGAGTAATTCACGTTGTTCCACTGCGACTGCCACTGATTTTATGCAGTAATTCTTCTAGATGACCATTACAGGATGACTTTTGCATACACCTGCTTTGATTTTGTAGTGTAGACAGAGGAACGGAAAACATTTCGGTACAAGATGTCCATCCACCTCCATATCCATGGACTTGAATTATTTCCACAATTCTTGATTTCCTCGTTTTGCATATCATCTTGCTTCCTTCTTGGGTCGCCTAAGCCGTTCTTGTCCATTGTTTCCGTTCACAGGTCGACTTGCGATTTCCTCTTTGGTTGTAATAGTTGGTTCCTAAGCTCAGGATCGGTTTTGATACAAGGTGTATTACATTACGGAGAAGTAACACAACATTCTGTCTACGGTGTGTCGACTTGGCTCATGACCTTACGGCCCATATCTATCCCGAATGGATTCATCATTGATTGTCTGGTATCTAGCTCAGCTTCTGGCTTCAATTTTCATGAAATCATGCGGAGATGACGTGTATTACGGACTTCGAATTTAGTGCGGCAACGACGCGTCGGTGATTTCCCGCCTGATAACACGTCATTTTCTTGCTTACTCTTGTCCCTCATCTCGCTATACGCATCTTGAGACGTTTCCGAGGCCTGAAGCTGTGGATTCCCGCGATGATTCTCCACTATAGCAAGCGTCAAACGTCATGTTGGCTCTAGTTACTACCGGGGTTTACCTCAGGAAACTCGGATGTGGCTTCTTCCGCTTTGCGCTTCTCGCGAATCTTTTAGCCAAGCAGAATGAATACTGGTCGCTTCGCTTTTGTTGTCGAAAGGATTCAACTCATGTCAATGGAATACTCTGCACATCTATGCACCTGAGCATAAATGCTACTCTCGATGCTCTGTCTTTGGTTCAGTGACTTATGACCTCGGTCATGTTCTTACATTCGCTTTGCCGTCCCTTTTACACAACGACAATCGTATTCACTTCTAGTTCATGATTTGTGGAGCGATTCTATTAGCGAAGCTATAAATATTGTGGGGTGTGGCCCCGTCGCGTCGCGAAGCGGATCGTTGCAACGCTAAGACGACCTCCGAAACGTCATCTATCGGCACGTTTGAAAATGTAGGACGTCGAACTACCTCTCGCATGGCCACGCAAAGAACCGTCCCGCGTCCTTGACTTATGTGAATGAAAACAAGTGCATGCAATGATGAAGATTTCTGAAGCACGGAAAGTTCATGAATTGTCTGCAACTATAACTCGAACGAGAAGACTGGCGAATTGCAAACAGTTCACGGCAAGAACTTAGGCAAAAGTCGGTTCGTAAAATAATGACACCATCTCTCATCGCTTCATATGAGGGTATAGCGATGAGTTACTCTCAAGCGTAAGTTCTTTAAAATTTTTGAGGTCATGACTGAGAATCACGTTCGTTGCGCAGGACCGGTATAAAGCGCAGGCAATACCAGGGGGTGCCAGCATTCATCACCCTCCGACTCAGTCCACTCTTCCTTTGTCCTCAGACCTCTTTCCACTCGATCTTCCGTACAAGATGTTGTTCAAGCAGGTCGTTCTTTTGGCCGTGGTCGCCGTTGCTGGTGCTGTCCCGGTAAAGCACTTTTACTTTGGATTTGGGTGCTATTTGCTAAAGTTTTTCTCTTGATAGGCTCCTGTCTCGACTTCCAGCGTAGTAAATGCAGTTGCCTCGTCCGCTTCTATTGCGACAGCTGTTGCATCTTCCTCGACCAGCGTAGCTAACAACGCTGTCTCATCCGGATCTGCTGCTGCCAACGACGTTTCGTCCTCCGCCGTCGCTCAGACCAATGTCGCGAATTCTACTGTGCCGGTCACGAAGAGAGCTGACGCCAGCTCCACCATTGGTGCTGTCGAGTCCTCTACTGTCTCATCCGTCGTGGAAAATGTCGCGTCCACGACTTCATCGCTTCCACAGAACGCTGCATCCAGCGTCTCGTCCCCTGTACAGAATGTCGCGTCCAGCTCTGCCTCTTCTGTTGCACAGGCTGCTGCCTCTCCGATCTCTTCGTCCACTATTCCCGAGGCAGCTGTATTCACGTCCGAATTGTCAAAGCGCGCCGCCACTACCTCGATCGCTACCGCCGTCGCTTCCTCAATTGAGACAGCTGCTGCCTCGACTGCTTCTGCCGCAGAGAACGTTGCTTCCTCTTCCTCTTCCATAGTTGCTGCTGCTGCATCCTCGCCAGTCAGCGACGCTGTATCGAGCGTTACCAGCACCGTTACAAAGCGCGCCGTTGATCCCACTTCGTCTTCCATTGTACAGAACGCTGTATCGTCTGCCTCTGGTGCAAGCTCCGTGGCTAAGAACGCCGTGTCGACTGCTTCGTCGGCATCGTCAGTCGCCATGAATGCCGCCTCTGCCGTGTCGAGTTCGGCGTCCGTTGCTCAGGCGGCTGCTTCTAGCGCAATCTAAGCACATAGGTGACACATCGGGTGAGTATTTGATCAAGCTCGTTGAAGTCACTAGCTTAGCGCTTCCTTGACAAGATTATTCTGAGGACCTCACAAATTACCTTCGTCTGAATTGGACGTCGATCTCTGTCATATAGTCTGTCCTTACCGAAGCAAGAAGTGAAATATTAGATACCGTTTAATCGTGAAATATGCATTTTTATGCCTTTACTCTGAGAGTAAACTAATTTGTTGCTTGATTGAATATCCGAACCGAACATCAAGACCGCGACGCACAATCCAAGCATGCCTTGTTTCAGAGAATTTATAACGAGCAATCACATCAAAATGGAGCGAGACATCTGATTACAATCCCAGGATATTACAACGTTCCCTTAAAATCCAAAACTAGCCAACTCATTCAAAGCGTTATTGTTCAGTTGCAAACCTTCACGTAACATGATATTAGTACATGCGAAGTTGACTTCATGATAGCCAAAATAGCATTGCGAGACTCACTCCAGTGTTTCCAATGATCGATGGTGAGAATGACCCGGAGCAGCAATCCGAACAGAATTCGACGGCGGGCATAATTTCACCCGGCTCAGGTGGATCGATGACGCAGTTCAGACCTGACTCGAGACAGCCTGTCCCGTCGGGCGTTGCGGCGCCGAGGACAGCAGCGAAAAGTGTGGCGAGAACAATGAGGTATTTCATGATAAGTTGACTGATGATTTTTTTGATTAGCGAGGAAGTGAGATATTGTCTAGAGAGGAACGGGCTTACTTTGCAGATGTAAAGTACTGGAGACTGAAAGGTGCAATTTATACTCCTTGCTCGGAATTGCCACATTCGGTGTTCCGACCGATGAGATACATGAAACGGGCTTGGCGTAGACAGACCCGGAGCTCGCGCATATTTACTTTCTACTGAATAATCTGATCGGTGGTGAGCGAAAAATGTAAGTGGTGGGACGTAAAGAATTCAAGGCACATGTTTACTGCTGACAGAGGCGGGGAACATAGCAAATTGCAAATTCAATCGCACATAATACTGTGGGCGGATTTGTGAAACGCCTTAGCTTGTGGATAATGGAAGTCGAATGCTCGAAAGGGATGGAAAACCAGCGGAAGATGTTTGTCAAAGAGTTCTGGGCATCGCAGGTAGAGGCTTGGACCACTTTCCAATCGACGGGTTTGCGACGTTCGTGGGAGGTAGGAGGACAGGGCTGAGCACATCTCGATGCCAAGGAAAGGCTTTTACATCGGAATAAAGTGTAGTGTGACTGTATTGTAAATACTCCATCCCTAGCCCACATACTGTAAATAATGAGCGATGTAAAGAGGAACATAAAGGGATGTAAGTTAAAGCGTACTCTTCCAACCGCGAGCTGCGGAGTTCGAATTACAAAATAATTGGTTGTTCTTAATGCTCGTATGGCTCTGATTTTGACCTTAGTCAGCTTCGGCGGCGGCGGCGGCGGCGGCGTCTGCTTCGCGTCTGTTTACAGCATAAATCAAACACAAACAATATACTCCATTCACTTAACAACAATACAAATTAACACTAGCACTGAGAGTCTGGCGGAGACACGTAGGAGGCAGCACAGGTGCGCCATATGTACATTCAAATAAAAATATATAGATGCTGATCCTTTCAATGTCATGTTACAATCCAACTCCGAACGATAGTTCAAGATCAGTCCCTGAGTGTATTTGAGCCCAATCGATATAAAAGATGCCAATGGAGGTGAGCACGTTTAATATTCGTGCCAACTATCGCGCCGACTACGTGGCCACCCAAGATTAAAAGGCGTTCACGCACGGACCTCAAGAAGATTAATACGGCCAATGATACCATTCATTACAGTTGAGAGGGCGAGCTAACTCCAAGTCCGGCTGGAAGTTGGACAGAAACCGGAACACCGAGAATAGAGCTGGAAATCCGGGGCCGGAGTACAAGACTTACCCGAAGGACACTCAACAAGCACTAATGGCCTGGTGGTTAAATCAAACATAACAGCATATACAATTTGATCAAATCAGTACAAACTAACACTAGCACTTAGGGATTGGCGGAGACACGTAGGAGACAGCACAAGCACCTTCCACACGCAGCGCCATACAGTCAGACAAACAGATACCAATCCTATCAATTCAATATCACAATCCAGCTGCGAACGATAATCCGAGAACGGCCCTACAAATAACATGAGATCAATCGATGCTATGATACTGATGAGGGTGGCGCACTTAATATTCATGTCGATTATTTGCGCCGACTATGTAGCCGCCCAAGATTAGAGGCGTTCACCTGCAGGCAAAAAGAATATTTATACCGTCAGTTCATGCACGTATTATCGGCGGAGATAGGACTAACAGAGAAGGAACTGGCAAGGAGGGGATGGGCAACGATGGGATTGGCAATGAATCCGTCGGGATTGGCAGTGACGGGATTGGCAAGGAATCCGTCGGGATTGGCAGCGACGGGATGGGCAGCGAGAGGGATGGGACTGACACCGAGCGAACCGGCAAAGAAGGGATGGGCAAGGAAGGAATAGGAAGAGAATCCGTCGGGATAGGCAATGATGGGATTGGCAAAGAATCCGTCGGAATGGGCAGCGACGGGATGGGCAAAGAACCTGTCGGTAGTGGCAGCGAGAGGGATGGGACCGAAAGCAGCGACGATGCTGCTACAGACGGGACTGGCAAAGCATCTGTTGGGATAGGTAGTGACAAGGATGGGATGTCCAGAGAAAGCGATGGTATAGGCAGCGATGGGATCGGCAAGGAATCTGTCGGTATAGGCAACGACGGGATGGGCAAAGAACCTGTCGGTAGTGGCAACGAGAGAGACGGGACCGACACAGAGCGAACTGGCAAAGAAGGGATGGGCAAGGAAGGAATAGGAAGAGAATCGGTTGGAATGGGCAGCGATGGGATCGGCAAGGAATCCGTCGGGATAGGCAGCGACGGGATAGGCAGCGACAGAGATGGAATGAGCTGAGGAGCGGCAGCCGCCAAGGATGCGACGGCAACCACCGAGATCAACTTAGAAAAAGTCTGCATTTCAGATAGTAGAGATTCCAAAGGCTTGTCAGGCAATCAGTTGCAGAGCGGAATGCTGCTGGTCTTGCAGCCGAATGTTGGTGGGTTTTATACCTTTTCTTCGCTCTATACATCATAGATATTCCACGAAGTCCGACAATATGTTTGACAGGAGAATCCCGCAGGAGAAACACATCACAGCCAATAGGAACTGTTTAACGATCGTCGTTTTCTCAAGCAGGATGCCTTTATTCTTCCGACTCACGGAGAATGGTTGTAATTGTCTTCTCGAAAGTTCTTATCCGACCTGGTTCGCTGAGGCGCCACAAACAAGAAGATCAAGAGGACGTCCCGCAATATGCTAGCATGTCACTCGTAATCCTCCAATAGGGTACGTTCTGACCTAGAGGACGAAAGATCAGGGACATAAATTCTTAAGTTAGCGAGTCATGAAGTGCAAAAAGTCGAGACACAATCCAACAACAGTCTGTCATGCTGCAAGTCAACCTGAATGAATCTCAATGTCAACAGAATAGCAGTCAGAACTTACCGATTGAAACCATATTAAGGTTCTCAATCGCATTGTATCACACGTAGCAGTGGTGCAATCCAAAATACACAATGCCGCCACGGAAAGGTCATTGTCCGAGATGGCGTGTAAGAAAATATCTCCCAGAAGGAAGCCTTGCGATCCCTTCGAAGGTAATGGAAGCAACCCCATGTCTGCGGAGCCATTACACGCAGCAAGCGCACCCGAAGCACGTGGAAATCTTGGACCACATCTTCTCTCTAACTGACACGAGCGAAAGGGGCACGAGTTCATGGGTAGGATTGACCGTCTGTGGTCAAGCGCGTAAGAGTGCTGTCATACGATTAGTAACGTAAGGGCGACGAGATCTACTTTTAGAGGTGACTGGCTCCTGAATCTGTCACGTAGGTTCAGATAATAGCCAGAAGAACTATCACTGACGTTGATGCTGGAGTTCATTAGGTTTGGAGAAGAGAGCTGATCGTCTTAGCCACAAGTAGCACTAAGCTTAGATGCCCTCGGCTAAGACAGATCTAGTTTCAGAGGGGAGAAACGATCAATGACAAAGAGATCAAAGGCAAGGCATGTCGCAATTTGCGTCCGGCTGGAATCGCGCGTCGAAGTACTGTGGAGGGAGTAGGAAGATACCTGAGAGCTGCAACAGAAGGCTAATACCGGATAGCCAAGAGCATAGTTGAGGGTACGAAACTGGATGCAAAGATAGCGAACTCATTCTAGCTGAGATGAAAGTTCCATCTTGACCGTTAACCGCTTCCTACGCGTCAATCAACTGGATTAGGTAATTTAAACTCCGCGAGCATGTTTTCTCAGCTCTAGCCTCTAGCATTGATGAATATTAAATGTAATATGATTATGATCTCCCTCGGCTTACTACCAGCATATAAACTAGCCTATTTTCTAGGAGTATTGTTAACTCAGACAGAGTCCCGAGTTTGTCCCGACAGACATTCAGGTGGTAAGGTGACGTCTGAAATTTGAATTACATTTGGTATACAGAGGCACGGGTATAATATTGGCATTGCACTCTGTCGCAGAAATACTTTACACTGTACAATGTATCAATAGGAGATTTCCTTCTCTGCTTTGGGTTAAAATCTGTCATCTCGCTGCATCGTTCTTGTCGTTCTTGTCGTTCTTGCCCTTCTGCCTTTTCGGCCTCTCCCCCTCGTCTGTCTGCCCCGTCAGTTTACGCGCCTTTTTCCCATCTCGCGAGGGACTGGAATGAGACACACTCGTGACTGGTGGAGGGATATATCCCGTCTCACCCTCTTCGACCTCCCTGAATTTACTACGTTTTGCCTCAGAGTCTTCCCGCATGTGTCGTGGAATGCTAGCCGGTATCGTAGGTGCCTTAATCGAGACATTTGAGTCTCTCCTTTCCTTAGCCACATTAGATACACTAGAAACCGAGCCATTCCTGCCGTGCTCTTTTTTCTCGCTTGGTCCATGACCATTATGCGTATCAAGCGTCGCTCGGCTATTGGTTCTACAATGAGTTCCATTCATCGGTTTTGGAGAGCTCGACCTTGGTATGCCTGAACCATAAAGGCTTGGTACTTCAGTATCGCTTGATTCGTTTCCCATCTGCTCTCTAAGCTCTGAAACTGCGTTTCGGCCTGCTGCAAGTTTCTCTTCGGCCGTCATGTGTTTGTCCTCTTCGTCGTTATCTTTTCTTTTCTTCTGTCGCCGCTTTGATCGCTCTGGTAGATTTAGCATTGCATAACTGCTATCCTCATCTTTTACTGAAGGGTCTGAACTGTACGCGCGCAGCACATCCTTAGTGCTTGACAGCTTTACAGCCTTCCGCTTGATAGTGGTCTTCCCCCCCGGAGCCCCCAGAGTTATATCGTCAGGCTCTGGAGTGTGTATGCTTGAAGATCTCTGAGGCGGAGTTGCAGCTCCCGATGCTCGCCTGTCGCTTCCAGTCAGTTCTCCTTGCTTTCGTTTCTCCTCTTCCTCCTTCTCTCGTTCTTTTCGTCTTTGAACCGCCGCCTCCATCCTCGCTTGACTTGGTAATTTATTACGACCCTTAACTTTCACTGTATTGGTATCCTGAACATTTGCAGAGTCCTTTCTGGCTGGAGCATTGGCGGTGCCCCTTCTGATGTTTCCAGAACTGTCTCTGCGCTCGCTGTGAACGCTATCCTTGCTCATACTGATGGACACAGATTGCTGGAAGGCTTGGCGCATTATGAGGAGACTTATATGTAAGGGACACTTGGATCACTTTGCAAGTTCTCTCCTCGACGTTGGCGGATTCATAGTACACGCAAAGTACTGCAAGGCCTGCCTCCAGTATTAGTCCAGAAGCAAAATGCGCATGAATGACCATTATCTGCATTCGACTCATGCATCGACGCTAGAGGGCCGAGATTAATTTGCAGCAGCATTGCTGCGCCACAAGGATGTGTGAGCTGGTATTTTTATTAAGGTACAGAGCAAAGTCTTCTGCTGAGTAGGGGAGTCAAATACACTATTCTAGAATCGAGATAAAACATCAGTGACTAGGGATGAGATGAGGTGCTGTATTGCAGGTTTATTCAGCATGCCTAGAATTACTAGCATGGAGCACAACCGAGGTTATTATGGTACTGGTGAGCTGAGAGCAAAGGGACGATTCGACCAGCAAAGCTTCGCCAAATCGAGCCCAATCACGTGGTCGAACATCCATCGTCAAACGTGCAAAGTACAAGATTTCGACTAGATGTTGCTTTGATTCTAGCACTGAAGTAGAAGGTACGATATTGTTGCACGCCACAGAGATTGAGGCAATTTCGTTTGGTCGAAGTGCTCCAGCAGAATTTCCCAAAAGAGCACAACCCCGTCAGCTACTGATACACCTCACAACATGAAAATAAACCAGAGCCTAACACAGCTTGAAAATTTGCAACTGTCACAAATGACTTTAGAGGTCGAGAAGCATCAAGAGAACTTTTCGTTGTGCGAACTGCGTGAGTGAAGTATACATCGATACATACATGCCTACGTCCTCGACTGCTAAATCTGAAGTGCTCGTCGATTCTCATCTGAATGGAAGTGCATGCAATCACTGAGCCTTCGCAGCAGCAGCATCGGCGGCAGCCGCAACGGCGGGGTTGACTTTCTTGCCATCCTTCCAGCGGACACGTGGTGGTGGAGCGCGATTACGTCGTCCCTCACGGGATCGGACACGGACGACGTGCGAATGAATCGCGCATGACACGCAGTAAGCAATTTTGATGTATAACTTCGGAATCACGTATTCTGTAAATTTAAGTAGAATTAGTAACTGAGTGTCTCTAGAAGCCATTGATGCACACACCATGATAAACGGATGCTTCTGAGATGTCACGAACGGCAGCAGACTCAACCATATTGCGTACGGTGAAGCGCTTAATAGCCTTGTCTTTGGGTACACAACGAGCACAGTTGGAGCATCGCACAAAACAAGTGTGGCCACGGCCTTTCTTGTTGCGGCCACCATTTCTTCTCTTTTTCGTCTGAAAAGCAAGAACGGGGCGTTAGCAATGCATTTGACTGACAGGAAGTGCTGCTATTGCGGCCGGGCAAAGCGTTGGACTGCTGTCCATCCAAAGTTGGGCATCGCCATCCAACGACTTTGGACACCCAGACCACCGCAAAAACGAATTTTCATGCATTCTCGAGCACGACTAGTGGATTCTCGACAGCACTAATATGCAAAATATAACACTCACCATGTTGAAATCGTTGACGTTGGTCGTTGAACGGCTTGTATCCGTTGTATCGCATACGACGGGAGCGTTCGGCGTATGCCGATACCTTTTCGGCTCAATCCGAATGCTAATTATATTTCGTATGTGACAATAAACCAGAGGTGCCTCGTAGGATATAAGCTGGCTTGACAATCGACTAAAATTCAAACTACGGTGTACTTTACACACTTAGCAGAAGCCAGGGATATGACTGAGGTTCTCCATGACCCATTGGCCAAAGGCGATATATAATTTTACAATACTCAGTTCACATTCTGTAGTTGACAAAGGTAAGGAAAAACTAAAACCACGACAAACAAGGGTCTTTAAAAATACTACATTCGGCTTTTGCTGTGTAGAACTGAGTGAAACATGAGTTGCATTTTAGGTTGTGACAGCCTGTCACACAGATTTGACGTCGATCGACTCGATCCGACGCGTGAGGCTACGCGTCGTGAACACGCGACTCATCTGCATTTTGCTTACTTATTACTACGAACATTTCCCTCGTTCGCGTACCTCGACCTCTCCAAACGACTTCCAGAGATGTCTTTCGAAGGAAGGCCGCATCGAGCGAAGCGGCCGACATCAAGAGTTCCTACTACACTGACTTCTAGTGAACCCGGGCCTTCGAACGTCGGCACTCGCACAGGACTGGCTGCTGGTAAGGGAAAGCGCAAGCGCAAAGCTGATACGGAGGAAGATTGTCAAGCGGAAGGCACGGAAGAAACTAAGGGACTAAACGGAGAAGTCGAGAAGCCAAAAGGGAAAGGACGGGCTGCAAACAAGTCGAAATCATCCACAGAAAGGCTTTATGACATCGACTTTATGCTTACAAACCCGAAAAGTCGACTGACGGGGATGGATATCTCTGTATGTCCATTTCTTGTCGTTCTGCTAAGACCGGCTCAGAAGCTCAGAATATAAGAATGTAGGACGTTATAAATTACGGTGCATGGCTTGCACTGTCTCCCGAATCCCGTGCCAGTCTGTGTAAACTTCTACCTAGGACGGCCTTTGGGGAACAATCACAAGAATTAGACGAATCACATCCTTCACGAAGAAGCTTACAGGAGAATATCTCTTCCACGCCATATGTATGTGATAGATGCGAAAATATCTAATGTGAACTGCTATGAACGTTAATATTGATGCTAGAAAATTGATGATTCAGTGCAAACTGACCAGCCTGCTGGCTCTCTTGATGAGTTAGCACCGGTCCAAGAACAACACCTTGACCCATCCTTTTTTAAGGATCCACATTTTGAATCCGCAGCGCGGACATTTCAAGTAAGTGTCCGCCTCCTATTAATCATTCTGGTAGTTGAATTTTGCAGGACCATTTGTTTTCAGGATGGTTCACACCAGCACATCGAGAACTTGTCGAGAGGCATCATTTAGGCGTTCGTGACGGATCTTTATACGCCCCATGGAAGGACGATCTCTGGGATCAAGACCATCCAGAAGATCATAACGAGGCCGACGAAGAGGGCTCTATGCAGGACCCGTCTGATTCAATCGGTACCAGGAACGAAAGGCGCAAGAGCAAAGAAAGGTGAGTGGCTTTCTTAACTAAGCATTAATAGGGTATGTTCTAAACGCAGGGATTGACAAATTCAAGCGAGTTGTCTCCTCTCGTTCGTAAAGGATTTTTGAAGCAAGGCGATGTCATCTCGTTCAGACATAAATTCCTTGGCTGCGGTTTGGCCATCGAGAAAGATGCTCTAGTCAGCCGTTTTCAATCCTCACTCCTTACTTTTCTAAACTACTTTCTTTAGATAAGTGCTATACATCCAAAGACAAGTGCCCTTACTCTAACAGCAAGTTCCGGGACTACGCGAGACCTTCCATCGGCCCTGCTCATTCCAAATCCAAACGGGCCAGCCGACTTAAGCTCATTGCGAGAGGTGCACGTCTCTACACCAACGCAGCTCGTCACAGCACTGCTGGATATCGACGGGCGAATTCCACGGGAACATCGTCCTAGGATAAATGCTTGGAAAATGATAACTAACTGGCAATGGTCTGTGGAGATGGAATCGCAGGGAATCTCACCTGAAGAGGCGATGCTTTTAGACAAAGGTGGTCGAGAATGCCTTGGGACATTGTTCTATCTTAGAGGACAAGCCCTTGATGATTGATCGGTGTAAATTCGGATCTCAGTCTCACACGTATGCCACTCTCAACAAAACCCAACGAAGATAAAGCCCGCATTTATTGACAAGAAACCCAAGAAGACAGGTATACTAAGAGAACCCAGAGAAAAAAGTTGCCTTTCTGAATTTGAAACACAACGGTATTTCTGACTTGCAATCTTGTTAGCCCTCAATTTGAGGGACGAATGGCCCTGGAATATCGGAATAAGTTTTGCGGGACGGGTTAGTCAAGTATTTTCTTGTACTTACTGGGACAGCCAGAGACCGTTGTTCGAATTGCAAGCTGCAGCAGTTCCACCATTTGCCTGTTCGAAACAGACCTGGTTGACAAGACCTCCAGTGTTTGCCTGTTATGATATTGAACAATGATAAACCGAAGGCAATTAACGCGAGAAAAATGAGACAGAGACTAACGAGCTCATCCCAGCAGTATTCCAACGGCGTGTTAGAGAATGAAGTGAATTCAAGTGCACATGTCTACGCATGAATCCCAGTTAGATCGATCTGTCGTACAGCCTGGAGAACAATACGAACGTTGAACGAAACCAACTCGAAGCTGTCAGGCTGAACAATGAAAGTCGGGCCGGCCGCTTGAGACACCACGCTCAATGAATTAACAAGGGTGTTGCAGTCCCCAGAGGCGGGCGCTTTCGCGGTTACGTTCTGGCATTCGCAGCTGACTTCATGCGCAGATCAATCAACGCTGTGCGCTATAGCGGGATAAATTCAAGCGAACTTACATGCTGTACCACACTGGCACTCCGGAGCCGGTGTTTTGCATTCAGCGGCATTACGTCTCTCGAGTGCGCTTGACGCAAAAGTCTTGCCGTTTCCAACAGGTACTCCTGCCTTCACGAGACTGCCATCAGGGCAATAGAAAGACTGCCGAACGATCTCAATGCCGTTCGCGTTAATCGTCGTGGATGCAACCTGTACCGCAGAAGGGCACTTTTCTTTGGCAGAGAACTTGGAGCGCTCCACGAGCCTGGCGCCAAAGGAGCCGAGTGACAGAGAAAGGACGAGAAGGGAGGCTGACAGGAGCTTCATGGTTTGAGAAGGCGTGAAGGAAGACGAAGACTAACTCTGAGAGTTTTAGTTCCATGCCTGGACTTGTTCTTGAATTTATAGAGCTACCCAATCCGTAAGGGTTGTGTGCCTTGGCAAGAAGCTCCGCTTGCCGCGGACGGACATGGACAGGTTCACATACGAAGAGCGTCTGAGTTCGTGTTGTTCCTATGAGTGGAACTTCGGGCGGGTGATGTTGGGAAGTAAAGACGTCGGCAGGAAGGAACAGGTAGCGCCTAACGTATCCGCTTGGACGAATCAGAGTTACAGATTGCGGCAGGTACGCTCAAACCAGTGTAAATGCGGCGTGAATGACTTTGTTTGCGGTGTTCGCGGTGATTGAGGCTGGTGGCACGTTGGTCCTTGTGGGAAATCGCAAAGGTCAAGAACCTACGCGAAGACATTCCATCTGCTCAACTGCAGATCAATAGGACGGTGAACTAGACAAGTCGGCATTGTAGCGAATCCGGGGAAGGCGGCACATCAGTGTCAATTATACGTCAGGCACGAGCGGTAGGGGAATGGAACGCCATCATGCACGAGGTGATCATCCATCACGACGAAACAATCGCCGAAGTGTAATGGCGTTCAACTGGGAAACAATTCAATAAGTACAAGGCGCTGATCAAGATGTCCGCGGCAAATTCGAGGCGCCAAACGAGAGTACACACTGGACTTCCATAGAGATCTTCGGCATATTGTATTTGAAAACTGCAGGGTCCTTCTCTAGTTCTTCAGACCTCTTCTTGACGTGCCGTGTGATCGACTGTATAAGTCTGGCGGTGTGCGAGGATTCTTCGGAAATCGGAGCCCGCGATGGGAATACAAAGCGTCGGACAGGGAGAGACAAACACTATATGTGATTCTTCCGGTAAGGAAAACAGACGGTGGCCACTCGGCCCAAGTATGAGCATACAATTGACAAAGGCCAACCAAAGTAGTCATTGAGATGTCCGATCGGCTCCCACCAATAAACTCAACTCTAAGATGCACTCGGCATGATGACCTCGTTGATAGAACACGTATTCCCATTTGCCGTGGCACCGCTGACAGTATACCCCTTGAATTCCAGAACACCATCAGCTCACTGAAAGCGGAGAGAAAGAAGAGTCCACACATACCCCGCTACTGTATCCGAGCGATGACGTTTTCCCACACCACTGACTCGCCGGGGTGGTGGCGGTCAGGACGAGATTCCGATACTGCAGATCGTGAACATGGTATTAGGACATTCTGAAGAGATTGGAAAGCACATGCTACTTACGGTTACTGGACCGAAGTTAAAGGCCACATCATATAATTCCACAGCCAAGATCGCACTTGGGTTCAATCAGCACAAAGCATTCAGAGGGGTCTGAGAGAGAACAGACCGGGTCATAGTTAGTCCTGACAGTGCGAATGTGCTCTTTGCAGAACCTGGTCCAGACAGCGTGCAGGTCCAGGTACCACTGGAATCGACCGAGAAGGTGAAGTGCACGGTTTGGCCTTGACACAAACGTTCTATCAGCATCAGATATCGGTAGTATCTTGCAAAAACCATACCTGGATAGGCGTTGAATCCAGATCCCCAAGGCAGGCTAAATATATTTAGAGGACTAATAAGCAGGCCAAATCATATTTGTGCTTGATATCAATGACCAACCTAGGTGTCCCATAATAGCTAAACCTTGGTCAGATAATGACATTATCAGAACGAGAAAAGAGCGCACCCATCACCGATCCACCATGTTCCCGATCTACCAACAAATCGATAGTGGTCATCCCATCTTATAAATTAAAACTTTCTCCGAACATCTGCGCACCTTCCATCCAAAACAGCTTGCAAAACACCCGTTGATCCCGGTTGGAGGCCTGGCCAAACGTACGGTGTTCCTCCAGCATCAGGCGTATCCGGAACTATCATGTCTCCTGACATCGAAGTGAACTCTGCCGCATCCCATTCGACTGTCCACCAGTCGGCGGACAAAATTCCGGGGACGAACGACAGGAAGAGAAAGACGGCTGCGAGGATGCTGTTAACCATAATGGCTTGAGGGTGGTCCTCGGATTTGTTGCTCAGATTTTAAACCAGTCACTTTGCACGATGAGTACACCATAGCGGGCCGCATGATTCTGTCGGATGGTTCTCGGAATTTGGGAAATGCATGTTTTATATGAGAGCTAAATTCTTCCGCCGTTCGGATAGGCGTTACTGCGGACACAAGACAGCACCGGCTCCGAAAGTGAGGGAGACATATAGCTTTTGTGTTGTCATGTTGCCGATAAGCATGTGGTTATCGGACTGCCACGCGTCAATGCTAGCTCGTGATTTCGACAGAACTGCCGATTGACACACGAACCGCGTGCGGAAAGAGCTTCATATTGGCAAAACATTGCCTACTGCAATACCGGTGTTGCTTTAACTTTCTCAACGACTTTGCCCGTTAACTGATGCATTCCCGGATAAGGTTTAATGCTCTCATTCGCACGCAACAACCGTCCTAGATAAGCAATAAGATACTAGCCTGATACCAGTAAATAGCAACGACTCACTCTCTGGTTTATCTCACCACTTCACCTCTATGCACTAGGTTCGATGGCCTCCTCAATAGTACAGGTGTTCCTTCTCACCTTTTCACTAGCGATAGTGTTACTTAATGTTACAGAATATCATCAGCATAAAGAGGGCGCAAAGGGAAATATCATACGTACACCTTGCCTGTGCCCAGGAGACTATGTCTTCTTGCACCATTGACTCGCCAGTGTGTTAGCAGTTATGTGAAGTACTGCAAAGATCTTGGTACTACAGGGCCTAAAACGAATTAATGAAGAGCCGTTCTCCTATTGAGACAAGCTAAGCCACTCATTCGAAAGGATCCCGAACTGAAGAGCACATTAATTGGCTCTAAAGCCGGATGCGCACTGTTGCTTGATCAGCAAAAAAATAAGACAGAAAGTTCAGGCAACGAAAGCAATTCATGAACCTCCAGTGTTGGCCTCATTCAGGGATATCATGTTCCCGGAGAATGGAGCAGACTGAGGTAGTTCCCTCCGACTCGTCATCTGTTAGCGGCAAAACCAGTAGGAACGAACAATACGGAAACGGAGAAAACCGCAAGGGTACTACTAAACATCGCTTTTATGATGCTTGAGTCTCATTGCTATCCTTTTTATAGGTTTATAAAGTGGTGATGATGCTTCCATCGGATGACGTTCGATAGTCAAAGAAAACTCTTTCCCTGTTTTTTCGCGTGACTAGAGCCCATTCATTCTCGATCTTTCACCGTTCAAATAGGCGCGACTACGAAGTGAAGCAGTGTCGGGCCCGAAAGAAGCGGAAAAATATAGTCTCAAGTTGTAATATGCTAGCATGCGATTATCAGGATACAACGTGTCGAGGGTGGCTAGACGGTGTTTTAGACGGCAAGTCCGGACCCCACGGGAACGGGATTTAGAAAGGTCTTCATGTTAGCAGAGAAGAGGCCTAGTTTTCGATATTACATTCACTGTTTCGTAGCCAGTCAATCGACACATCCTCTAAGTGTTCGTCAAAATCGCCCAGCTTCTGATGTATACGGTCTTCCCGTATGAGCCGTAAAATACTCGATGTGATGTTCGGCGTCGATAGCTTAAAGCGGGAGGAGTCTGTGAAAGGCTGTACTCCGTCGTTTGCGGGCCTCCAAGACGTAGAACTGCCTTGTGGAAGATAAGGCTAGGTAGGGGTCAATTGATATGTAGAGATAGTTTATTCCACTACTTCCAACTTACGATAAGGGCAGGCTCTCCAGCAGCTAACTTTGAGCCATCAACCTAGGCACTGCCTGTAAGCATGCTATAATCTGAGTTATTATCTAAACTTACTACGAACGCAACGGCGTTGGGGAAGCCCTTCCTAATCGTGTCGGCAACTTTCTCACCAACTGCAGTGAGTGTCGTATCCGTTATGTGCTCAGAAACCTGATAGAAACCGGCTACTTCAAGTCCGTTCGACTGAGCATAGTTGCTGGCCTCTCGTATCAGGCGAGAAATCGTAAGCATCCCCAGGCATGAGAAGATACACGACTAACTCACAAGATCCAAGCCGATTTCCATGCTCGGGCTCAAGTTTGTCCAGTGATGCAACAACGGTATTGCGTCCGTAAATTCAATCGAACCTGATTTCTCCTTGCCCACGAGTAAGCCATTGACCTGTCTGTGTGGATATTTGGCAGCATGAAAGGCAATTTTGGCATAGGCTTGTTTGTGTACGACGAACGAGGTCATGGTGGTAAAGACCTGAAGAGAATGGAAGGTCAAAATATTCCCACGATTACAACTTCCTGATAACTTACGCCAAGGATGGCATCACTTGATTTCGGATTGTTGTTCTCGATCGTTCACACTCACTTTACTTTCGGTTCAAAGGCCTCGGTCAGTATTTTTCCGCATATAATGGATAAAAATACATTCATCATGCATGTTGACTCGCTTACAAAGGAAACAAACTTGCTTGTAATGCCTTCACCAACATTGGCATGGTTAGAATCTCCGGAAACCCAACTTGTAAAGCAAGGCGCGGAAGCTGTACAGGTCATCCATTTGATACTATTGTAGCATCTTCTGAATTACGAAGTGTTGCAGAAAGTATACAAGAGCTTCCTCCATCCAAACCCAGCATCTTCCGAACCAATTCTTCTGAAGTATCGGTTCAAGAAAAACTATCGACATGCGATACTTGACACAACTTTAACAAAAGCTCGTGTTGCAGGCGAAGCACGAGCACTCATGAAATGTTTAAGGTAGGCTCGCAACGGATCGATATTAGGCTGCTAACGATGACCAGCTGCGATGAATTAACGTAGGTCCGGCGTTCAAGTTCCTGGTATCCGAATGGTCGACGCCTCAGAAGGCGTGATTGGTATTGAATGGATAGAGGGAAAGAGTGTGAGGAGCCTCCTTGGGGCCGATGAAGAATCAGACATACCAGATGAGAACATCAACGCAATAAGTGCTGGTGACGACCCGGATTCCGTAGTCAGCCACCTTGCTGAATATGGACTCGCTCAACGCAAGGGCCCTCTTTACTCTTATTTATCCACTTACTAACATCCAAATTATAGCTGAATTGATGACCATGATCGGTGTCGAGATCGCAAAGATGCATAAAGTCGATGTTGTACATGGAGACCTCACTACATCCAACATGATGCTTCGAAAGCGACTTCCCAAATTCTCACCGGACAAGACAAAAAGCAGAACAGAAGTCGTATGCCACTTCTCATACTTGAACATGGGAGCAACTAACTTAAGTGACATGTTACGATTAAGATATTAATTGACTTTGGCTTATCATTCATCTCTGCTTTGGTGGAAGATAAGGCGGTTGATCTCTACGTCCTTGAGCGCGCATTCGCATCAACTCACCCAGACTCTGAACCTTTGTTTGAGTTGGTCAGTACCCAATCAACTAGATCGACATTTCTTGTGAAGTCCGTGGCTCATGCTAAATAACAGGTACTCGATGCATACGCAGCTGAAAGCGGGAAGGGCTGGCAATCCATAAGTAAAAAGTTGGATGAAGGCGAGTGACGATTTTACTGCTCAGGCATGATTTCTGAATGAGGCTACTTAGTTCGGCTGCGTGGACGAAAGAGAAGCATGGTAGGATGAGACTCGTGTAAACCTCTACTTTCTGAGAAAGGCAAAAGTATATTTGTGCTTTTGTGCTTCTGAGCTGAGATCTGTTGGCCATATGGAGTCATTGACAATTTCAAGGACATAACTACGGATATCTGAGTAGTGAATGCTTCCAATTACGAGCTAATGCGGAACAACCTAGCAACATCCGGTAAGCGTCTGGTTATAATAAGTTAAAAATCTGACTCACTCAAATACCCAGAGGTCGTTATTGGGAATACAATCGGCCCCCGTACTTTCACCCCTTTCAATGCAGTTCTCGTTAGTAATTCCCGCCAAGAAGACCTTGATCAGATCATACGCTGCATTAGACTGGTGATTTCTAAGAGGAGACACAAAGAAATTTTTTACAAGGTCATCCCAGCAAAATTCAAGCGGCCCGCCATTGAGATTAAAGTTCTCTAGCTCGATTGCACCTGCAGTGTAAAACAGTTTCGAAGTTAGGTGTATAATCTACAAGATCGAAGGAGAGGATCATACATGTCTGGAATTGGATGATCTGGATCTGTGAAAAGGGGACAAGAAATGACGGTCCTTCAAGCTGGGGTATCACCTTGAGGGAGTCCATTAAAATTGCACAATCATCGCCAGTAGGACTGTTCTGAGTCAAATTATCACAGACACACGAGGCTAAAATGAACATAAAAAAATTACTAACACTTTGACACGGATACCGTTAAATATACTCACCCATTTGACCACACTGACATTCACTGCCTGTAGTCTTGCATTCCACTGAGCTTCGCCGCGCCAGCTTTGATAGACCCGCGGGTGTAACGATTGGAGACGATCCGCCAGCAGGCGACGCCGTCTTCACTTTCGCTGATACCGCACCGTCTGGGCATTGGAAAGTCATACGTTGTACGGCGTGACCATTGACACTGATCGTCGTAGAATTGACCACAGTTGCCGATGGACATGACGAAAGCCCTTGGTTATTACTGGAGTCACGGCCCAAACTCAGCGCTCCAAAGCACTCCAGCGAAAGTACAAGAAGGGCGAGAGTTACAGTAGAGAACTTCATTGCCAGCAAATTGCAAAATGTCTTACAGGAGTCCAAGAGTAGGACGAATATTTAAGCATACAGCTCTGGAGATTTTATACCTGTGGGATAATTACTCTGGACCTCAGCATAAGATGTTCTTTTGATCCAGTAAACTTGTCCATAGCCCGCCCCTTACATCTGACCGAAGAAAGGATATCATTTGATCCGAGAGCCACTGACCTGTACCTGCATATACTAAATGGATCGCAAAAGAGTAGGGACATTAATAGCTCGTTAAACTTCTCAGCCAGGTCGTAACCATTCTAAAGATCTGATCTAACCGAAGTTACGTAGAAGAAACAGGTGCAGACCTTTAGACACATGGGGGAAAGCACGGGATTTTTGAATGTATTTTCAGTCAGGATGTTCCGCTTTTGAAAATGTTGGATCCGAATTCCGTTTCAAGTGCAGAGTTTGGGCCGCTTGAAAGATAGAGAAGGGAGACGCGTTACTGCATGCTTTCAGAGTGAGTTCTGCGTTCCTATTTGTTGACAGTCTCAGTCTCGAGGAAGAAGGATGCATCTTAGACCTGAGGATGCCGAGCTTTGCCATGCAAAATGCGATCAATGCGGGATAGCGTCGCAAATTTCTCCAGTCAACATCAGCGATGAGAACCAGACACGTACAACGCTTGACAGTTCTACTAAGTTCTTTAGGCTAGTTATCCATTATGCTCTTCACAACTCCGATTACTTCCCGACTGAAGTAGTATAACGAACTGGAACCGAGGTCTAAGCAGTTGTGAGAGTGCACGGAAAACCTTATTATTGAGAACTTCTTTGACCTCCAGCGTCGAAATCATATCTAAATAGCAGCTACGTAACACCTTAATGTGAGAGTTCGCGGACAATTTTCTTCAATCTTCTTAGTATTCCAAACATGGGCCAAAACGTTCAGTACAGGACGCTACATGCTATATATAAACGTATAAAAAGAGAACAAATCTAACCATGTTTCCAGGTTAACGGACACGATGTTCGCCCGAGAGACGTTCGTGTATACAATATCTTAGACGTCTGATTAATTCGCTTAAGAACCAATGCGCAATATTCTACAATCGCTCAGTAAGCTTCTCGTATCTCAATTCGAAAAACTACGTGAGTTCAGACTTACTGAAGGTTCCAAAGACCATCAGTAGGATTGCAAGAAGCGCCGGTACTGACGCCTGATTCTAGGCAGTCCTCGTTGCTCAATCCCATGAGGGCGACCTTCATACAGCCACTTGTTAGAAGTTACTCGTAAGGGTCAGAAGGAAGTGTTACAGACTTCTTCATCCCAGCAGTATTCAAGCGCGGTGGGGTTCCTTCCGGTACCAAGATTAGAAAATTCGATGCCACCTTCAATTTGTGAAAGTTAGAACCACAGTATTTAGCCAAAACTGAAATTAACATACATGATTCAAATTGGAGGAGCTGGAAAGTCCTCGGCTGCACGACGAATGTCGCTCCTTCGACTTGAGGTATGACTCTAAGAGTGTCGATGAGGATGGCACAGTCGTTTCCGTTTGGAGCGTTGGGTGTTGTGCTGACACATGTGCAAGTCGCTAAAAACATCGGTGAGCTTAAATTCAAAAACGTCGACCGAGAATTAATTAAAGTATTTACTAGGTTGACCGCATTGACATTCAGGTGCAGCAGTCCTGCACTCAGCTGTACTACGGCGCTTCAATTCAATCAAGCTGTCGGGTTCCGAGACTGGAGATCTCTCAGAGAGCAATCGTTCGTTGGTCTTTGCTACCAGACTGTCGTCAGGACATTGGAAAGTGGTACGTTGGATGTCATGACCATTGACGCTAACGGTCGAAGAATTGACCGCAACCGCCGACGGACACGCTGTGAGTCCCCTGCTCTTTACGGAATCACGACTAAGGCTTGCACCAAGACCACCCTGCAAGAACGCAAGAAGGACAAAAGATGCAGTGAAGAGCTTCATTCTTGGGACTTTTTTAGGAGTTCGAGTGGATTCCAAGAGCAGGATGGGGAGTTTGGATCCACTTACTGAGGCTTTATACGCAGGAAATATTTGATATAGACTCGGCCAGGGGTGTATTCCGCGGACAGAGAAAGAGCGTTCCAGCTCATCTATCCCGTTTTCAGCCATGGAAGGGGGGTATAACTGGCTCGGGAGGCCATTGAACGGAATTTACGACAAATCGCGGAAGAACAAAAGGATTTTTTGGAGGACTAATTCCTATTGAGCGAGATTTCTAGACAGGTCTGGATCAGCATCAAGGCCGTCAGGTACAGAGGTGTAGATCCTTACCACATGGCAAACCGAACGATTTCGTCCATCCTTTCACTATGTGTATTCCACTCTGGAATCTGGAAGAGGACAAAGGCCTCCTTCCAACAGTTTTTGCAACCGTGTCAGGGGCAAGCTCTCGTTGACTAACAAGCGCCTGAGATGCCGAACCAAATACGGATTTGTCCGGAACTTTAGCACTGAAAGCCTACGAGGTGAATTCCACGAGTCTTCTTTTCTCCAGTCTGGTGATCCGTCCTCAGTTCCTAGCTATTTTGGAGTATGCGTGGAGGCGTATGAGCCAGACGGCGGGGGAAAGGCACGGAAAACCGCAGACAAAGTAAATGTCAATAGCACTAATATTCAGGTTTGGCTAGGAGGTTTATTTGTCCTTAGGAATTCCTAAACTTCAGCGTCCTGGAGTCCATCGGGCAAATAATCCACAATCAAGTCCATCGCTGAATAATGATCTGCGATTGTCGAAGGGGAAAGTACATACGCTGTCAGTTCCGGCATCCCGTTTCATATGAGAGATTCAGGTGCGGAGGAGAAATCATCCCGCGACCAAGCTTGCCAAAACAAATGAACACGATACGTCTTCGGAGGATCCGCAAAGACTAGTTTGTATTCATCTGGTGTATTCATGGGAAATACAACGGAGCTTCCAAGCTCTGTGTCTTCAATTTTCCTCTGTATAGGTATCAGTGGCACAGTCAAGGATGAACAAATAAATCAATCAGATTCACAGTGAATGCGGAGCGGAGACAAAGGGGAGGAAAACAAACTCTGAAAAGGGAAATGTTAATGTCAAATTAACACGTGATATCAATTTAAGAATATACGTTACGTCCTTGTCACAGAATGGTGGCAGTGCACCGAAATCTGGTGGGTAAAAGAAAAACCAAGTGCTGCGCAATGCGCATGTTGGTGCGCGGACACACAGCGAATAAGTATTTGCGTATACCCAGAAAATTGCCGTGGTTTATGCGGCAACTTGTGGATGTCGGGTACTTCAACAGACAGCTCTTCTTTCCAACCATAGACTTTGAAAGTTGTTTATTGGATTAGGAGACTGTGATTGCAAGCGTAGGAAAAAGAAGCGAAGTTGCAAAGAAAAAAAACACAGCCACTCAAACGACTCTGTTTTCTCATCGCCTCCACGGCCGCCCTTCTTCATATTCGCCGAGGAGCAGATGCGGGGTGATGCCTATCGTTGGCGGGATCGTAAGTCATCTCACTGTCTTTGTCGGCTCATTCCAGCGGTCTGGGCCTCGGGGACATCACTGATTTGAATGGAATGCTTTACGTGAACAAAATCAGGACCTCATAGCAGGAACGATAGGTGCTCTTCGTCCGCTCCGTCGTGCAATCCCACCGTGCTGATTATCTAACATTTAATTTACAATCTTCTCAGCCGCATTCAGTGCATTGTTGGTATGTTGAGGATTAGCGCCGTTTCCATGAAACCATTGACATCGGGTCCTACCTATCCAGGTTTACGACGTTTTCTTCGTCACATTCTATAAAGAGGTCCAATCCAGTGTTATGTTTTTAAGCCGATTAAATGATGACCTTGATTTAATGTAGGTTCTGCTTATATGGCCGTCACGGTGGAACTTCGTGAAAGTAAGACACTGCATTGCGTCTAGCAGACTGATCGACAGCGATAACATCGATGTGCCTCTCGAACTTCAGATCCTATTCTTCCTCAACCGATATTTACCTTTTGTGGATACGTTTCTGTCCTTACATCGTGAGCTTCTTTGTTTAAATTGAGAACCGGGATTGCTTCTCAACGGTGTGTCGCGGACTCAGTGCTGACCGGAAAATCCACCGATCGTGTCAGTATTTCAAATACAAATACCATATTTGGATACATTGTACTGACCACTACACCAGGGCTGTCTTCTCGGGTTTCAAACAGTCACTTGTGAGCCTTGTTAAACACCGAAAAATACTCATGACACGTCGCATTAAATTAACCGATTCCGATGATTAGGGCTGATCGTCATCGGTATTATCATCTCTGAGAGTAAGTTTTTTAAATGTTCCATCCACATTATAAAGCTTGATCATTGACCTTTGTGAACTGTCAGTGATTCTGATGGTACGAACGTATGCGATATGGGGTCAGAACCGTATCATCCTCTACATATTGATCTTCATGAGCGCCGTAAGTACCGATTGGTATAAATACTTAGTAGGATTCAAACATGACTGATCCGATGGACTTGGTTTCAGGGCGTGTTCATCCCTGGAATCATTGTAACCCAATTTGAAGTGCAATCTTTCGCATGTACGTAGTGGAAGTTATTTTACGTTAAACTAGCGTTAACCTTCTATTAGATGTAGCAATGCCACGGGGCTGTTCTCAATCGAAACCCGCGAGTTCTATAATTTTTGTTGCTTTTCTCTTACTCATACTTTGCGAGACGAGTACTTGTTCACCTGTTCTCCATCGCGAAGTTTGTATCTGATCATGCATATTTCAGCCATAGTTGCCATGACATTGATACGAGCGCGGCAACATTGTACGTCTTCTGGTTCTCGCATGATCATCATTCTACAGCTTTGCTGCTTTCCTAGATATTTCCCGAGAAATTCGCTCACCTCTGATCAAGCAACTGTACAAAGATGGTGAGCCTTCGGTTTCGATGCGGTTTATGGGTCTAATAAATTTATTTTGCAGGATTATTTTACTATGTGTATCTGCTCAGTCCGTGATTCATTCTAGCGATGTGAAATTGTGGTTGCTGACCGTGGAAACATGTGTCACCAGCTTTCTCAATTGTCAATGTCATCACAGCTCTCGCTGCGCCAGTGCGTTATCCTTACACCTTTTCTTTGCTTGTTTAACTGACAACCTTGTTCCGGTAGCCTGCATTCGCAAATTGGTTGACGACGTGAGTTTTCATGAGAGTATGATCCCGTCTATTTCTACTGTCTTTGCTAACCCGCGTGTTCATCAGTCCTCAACGTGTTGTGCACAGTCTTCTCTGCACGCGCGTCCTCTTACACATCCGTTCACACAATACAACACCCGATACGGAGCTCATGACAACGCAAGTGGACATGTCATTCGTCACGCCACTTGAATACAATACACAGCCTGAACCATTGGGATTGTCTTCAGGGACAGCTTCGGGATCTGGTTATGGCTCAAGCTCAGCTTCGGATAGCTATGACACGCGTGTCTTCTTGAGTTTTGCAAGCCATACCGATAGTACAAGTCCTAGTGAAGGCCGAAGTAGCGTCGTCCGATACAAGAACCCAGAGATCATTCGAGAACGAGATCAAGATCGAGGCTACGAAGCGGAGGCGGAAGCCTACGAACTGCAACCCTTGTCACGTCGGTCACGAACTGCACGAACTCCAGCACAAGCACTGACACCTTCACCTACACAAACAAAATTTGACAGCAGGACTGTTGAGTCACCCACTTCACCTTCGAGTACACACTCGGGACATTTCTCGCCCTCGTCCTCGTCTCGGACCTCATACAGAAAAGGAAAACAGCGGGAAACGGAAGGTGGATTGGAGGAACGCTTGGAGGAGGTGGAAAACGAGAGGGACAGGTGACTTCTAAATGACCTCTTGCTTTCTTTTCTTCCCTGTTACGTTGCTCTTATTTGTTCCCTGCGCTTTTTTATTCCTTATTTTCTTGCTCGTTTTGCATTCACTAAGATCTAATGACCTTTATTCTATTTTTATTTCGCTTTCTTGGGCTTGGACATATTTTACTACATCCGCTGCTCGTTTCCTGTTCTTCTTGTTGCTGAATGCTCCGACATTATCTGTACCATTAGTCTGTGTATTTGTAACTGGTTCTCTAGATATAATCTAATGTCTTGGATGGATAAAATGCCAGGACTAAATGCCGTAGAGCCGGCTTGTGGTGTGATGGAAGCCCTATCACGGCTGTTCGTAACCTGTGAGGTTTATCCACCTTCCACTGCGGTCGTCTGATGGTTGCTTCCCCCCAAACACTTACTGGTAGCATCCAGTCTTTTCTATCCTTTACTACATCGCGCCTTTCTTCAATACTAATTTGCGAGATAAAGACAAGCCTATCGGATTCTTTGGCTTTGATGGCCCTTTCTCAACAATGTATCCTGCTTGACAGGATCCACGAAACCGGTTTGAACTTGCCCTTGTGTCTCCAAGAATGTTCACCTTATTATATGCAAACAGATATGTGTACTGACAATTTTGTTGATTGGGTCCCGTGTAAGAGGTATCATTGGCATTCAACATGGATAGCTAATCAAGACATCAGGAAAACAATGACCAGGCAACAAGATCACAGAATAAGTAAGCAGCTCAATATAAAGAAACGTAATTGACAAGAACAGAGGGCACAGTGAGTAAATCAACGAATAAGCTTTCTGTATGATATCCATCCGTCGAGTGGACGACAAATGGAGCTTGTCAAGCATTGCTTGTTCCTTCTTCGTTAGATCCCGCGAATGCTTGAGCGCCTGAAACGAATTAGCGTTGCTTAGGACAGAAAGGCAAAAGTAAACATACCTTTAGCGAATTCAATGTCACTAACATTCCTTGATTGGTAACTCGTCCCTCTGTTCACTCCCCTCTCGCCTACCTCCTTCAGATTGATTAGAAGGTGGCTTCCAAGGACACAGAGAAGTGTCGGACTTCCAGCTACACTCAGAAGAGTCGCAACAAAGGGGCTGATTCCTGAAATTTGGTCATATACTATCTGCATCACCGAACAAAATATTATACTACAACAATCTGAGTCAGATGTTATTATACACATGTGCTCCACTTACAAGCTGTAATATAAAATCTGGTCCTCAATAAGGACTCTGACAAGGCGAGAGCCTTTGAAACCAGAAGATATTCTCCAGAACTCTACTGCCTTAAAAAGAGCCAAACAAAGTAAAATCATCCCATATGTCAGTAGAGCAGACCTGTTATACATTAGAGAGAGGGTATGGTAGTGTGAGCATAAAATTTGCCATAGAATGATTGACAGTGTCTGAGAAGGGTTTCTGCTACTCCTGCAAATCTCAATCCCCTGTGCATAATGATTAACTGCAACTGAAGCGCATCACGTCTCAATCTACTCTATAATTAAGGTGTAATCAACTTGAAAATCTTACTTTCTTCAAATAAAATCCCATAAATAAGAGAACTAAGTCCGATACTTGCTTCTACAGCAAGAAGTACTTTGAGGCAAATTGAAAGCGGTCTGTCTGACAAGATTCGGTTGAGAAAACATCTCCAAAGGCAATATACCTACTTTGTTGGTAAAGGGCCAATACGCGGATTTGAAGAATATCTGTAGAGCAATTATGTAGATGCAATATATTATGTGAATATTGGAAGTGATACTTACAGTCTATAAGGACAATTGTAATTAAGTCTGATACTAAGTTAAGTTGGAACCATAATGTATGCTAGTAGACAGCTCACTGCATAATCCAGATATCCAAGTCGTTGCCCGGCCTAATCTCTAAGTCAATGGGAAGAACGAGTAGCTAGAGGTGAAAACGCACAACTATATTTGGCCCGTGTTCAGATCCAAGGTCAGCACATACTGTTTATATTCCTGGTTGCTCTTTATCTCACCTCAGTGTGTTTTGATTGAAGCCTCGATCTAGAATAAGCATCAATGTTAATTGTTTCCTGCGCGCCAGTGAGCAGTGTAAATATTTTGCATACTGATTATATAACAGATTGTCCCAAGGAGACCAACGTAGCGATTCTAAACACAGATGTTGGAACGAGTTAGCTAACCTACTGTCAAGTAGCACTCACTGCAAAGTAAATTAGACTAATGTGTTCGCATGGCTTTGACTTTGTCACGATTAATAAGTCATAGGCATACAAAACTTGGTACTTGGCGTATCCAAAAACATTTTATCTGTAGCAATACAATTCAGTGAGTGCTTGGGAGGAAATTGCATGACCAGCGTACCTCTTTATCCAGTGTCGTCACTTGGATTACGTTTTCCGTCAGAGTTCTTGGTTCAAGAAAAAAATTGCAGTACGTACGAGCATGGTAGACTAAGACAGTCAACAGTGCGACGTCGAAGTACTGTACAGTGATGAACTCGGTGACAAGCAATTGCATCATGTTTGGATCGACATCTTCAGCATCAGATCGGGTGAAGAATGAGTGAACGCGTCCATAGTCGAGAGTCTGATTCGCCATCAGAGATGAGGACGTATGACAAGGTGAGGATACGCTTTGGACCAGCTGTATTCTTATAAGAATCATGGATACGAAAGGCGATACGAACGGCACTTATGTTTTGTAAGAAATACAGGACAGACGCAGTCCGTTCGCAGTATGCTCTTACTTGATCAAGTGCCCAAGCCGGGAGACAATCAAGTGTCCTTGACATGACGGACAGGGCAAACAGATGCGCATGATCGTTTCACCTTGGGGGGCCGCGCGAATCATAGTATACATGAGCTATACACGGGCGCTCGTCAGTGACTCCTTCATCCATGACTACACCGCCTCCGACATTGAGACAAAGCATCAACTCGATATTTCTGATTTACTATATATGTAGAACGAATCACACTTCATATGATCATATCAAGTGCCAGTATCAGATAACCTCTACAAGAGCTTGACAGACCTTCTCTCACCACAAGTAAACAAAGTTTGTCCTTCCCACCCTCACCACCATTATCAATGTCTTCCGGATTGCCAGGACGTCCTGTCTTCTACTTGATGAACCCCTGCCAAAACGTCGACAACAAAGCACTGCACTTGATGTTGTGATGACAAATTAATTATTGTCACGTGTGTGGCATGTTATGAGTCATTGCCTAGGCGCCCATAAGGAAAAACAATGCTCGCTTGTGGTATAGAAAATATGCTTCATAATAAGTTCATATCGTAGGTAGAGAGCGACTCTGGAGGCTGGACAAGTCGTATCTTCTGGCCACGTGCATCGATTGAATAGCTACTTCCATGGACGCTTTTTCGGCTCACAGACGTTGCAGTCCAAACAGTGCATCGACGCAAAAATAGATGGGCGGGCGCGCTTGTCGCAAGGTGTACATTAAAAAGGCCGTGCACAAAAATCATGGCCCGCTTGTCTGGATCTTCCATTACTCCCACTATCAACGTCCGTCACTCTCTATAAGCAGTGGATGTTTGGTTATGCGCACCATTGGCGGGATCGTAAGTTGCCTCATTCAATCCCCGTGGGCTGTCTGGTTTCAGCTGATTTGACTGGGTCACCCTACCCGAACAAATCGGCAGGACTTCACAGCAGGAACGATAAGTATGCCTTCTTTCTGACTTCGCCGTGGTGCCTCAATGATCTAATTCACCTTCTTCTCAAGTCGCTTTTGGTACTTTGCTAGTGAGCCTAAGTCTAGCGCCCATTCCATGGTGGTATTGACACGAAACACTGTCTATATAGGTCTACGACGTTTTCTTTGTTACATACCACGAGGAGGTTCGAACCGAATTATGATACCATCTCTAACAATTGATGCTAGTCCTTGTCGCAGATTAAGTATATATGGCCATCAAGATGGACTTTTGTAAAGGTAGAACTCTTCGTTGTGGTCAACGAGCCGAAAAATATAATACCGATTCATCCGTCGTCTTTTAGGTCCTATTTTTCCTCAACCGATATCTGCCTTTCGTGGATACATTTCTGTCCTTACATTGTGAGCTTCTCCGTCTGAATTAAGAGCCAGACCGACCTCTCATTGACAAATTCGGATCTAGTATTGATTGGTAGATCCACCGATAGAGTAAGTATTTCAAATACACTGTACCATATTTGCATACATTATACTGATATGCCACCATTGAACCAGGAATGTCTTCTTGGGTTCCAAACTATCACTTGTATGTTTGGTTAAACATATCTTCGCAGCGTTTTATTCAGAGGCATATGTTAGGGTTAATCTTTATCGGGACGTTTATTTCCGAGAGTAGGGATTCAGCACACCATCCGAACTATCACTTTTCCTGAATATTTGGCGACAATTAGTGATGTTAATGGTGCGATCATATGCAACTTGGGGCCAGACACGTGCTACACTCATCTTTCAAATACTATTGAGTTTAGTAAGGGCTTGAATACTCTCGATTGCAAATACTTCTGACAGTAATTTGGTTTGAATTAGACTATATTCATCCCTGGAGCTATCATCACCCAGCTTGAGGTCGAATCCTTCGCATGTATGTCCTGTAAATAACTGTACTAACCAGGCTAGTTTTCACCCTCCGACAGATACTACAGGTAAACAGGGTACCTGTGTAAAAGCGAAGCCCACGAGTGCAATTGTTTTTATTGCCTTCCTGTTGCTCATCCTCTGCTAGACGAGTTTGTACCCGGTAATTCCTGTTGTGCGTTGTAGTGACTCACGATTCCGTCAGCTATAGTTATTATGACGTTGATACGAGCTCGAAAACACTGTATTTCTTCTGCTTTTCGCTCCAGTTTCGCGGTGCGGCTAACTTTCTCTTCTAGATTTCCCTAGAGACCTAAGTTCACCTCTAATCAAAAGAATGTATAAGGATGGTGAGTCCTTTGTCGTCAAGTTTTCTTTTGCTGTTTTGAAGGAGGTGTCTTGCAGGATTGTTTTATTATCTGTATCTGCTCAGTCTGTTCTGTTCGAGTCGCAATTAATCATATAATTACTGATTGTGGCTATAGCTTTCTCGATCCTCAATGTTGTCACAGCTTGCACTGCACCGGTGAGTTAATCTCCTTTACATCATTGCGAACCCATCTAACGTTTCCGATAGCCCGACATTACAAATACGTTAACGACGTAAGTGTCCGATCACTCGATCCGCATGCAACGGATTTATGATCCACATTCGTTTTAGCCCTCAACGTGTCATACACAGTCTTCTTTGTACTCGCGTCCTCTTACACATCCGTTCACATAGCAGGGCATTCGACTCGGAGCACAGAACAACGCAAGCCCCTATGTCGTTCGCCGTGCTAGCCGAAGGCGATGCTACTCATGAACACTCGAGATTATCCGCTGGTTCAAGAACGACGGCCATTCTGGGAAATCCGAGTATTTCGGAGTTGGACAGCCATGATAATCACGTTTTCGCATCAACCATAAGTCATACCGACAGTGCGAGTCCGAATGAAGTGCATGTTTACGAACTACAACCTCTATCCCGTCGGCTGCGACCAACGTAACGTTTAGCACAGACTTAAGTCTCATCACTTCCCATGGATCTAATGGCGCGTCTGTCGTTTCAGTCACAGCAAGTTTAAGGTATCCTGCAGGGCGAGAGCGGCGTTCTCTTCAGACTTGCAAAGCATATCTTGAGGGAGCTGGAGAAATTAAAGTCTAAACCATGAAAGAAACCTATGTAATGTATTGTATATTGTTTCTTCCCTTAATTGTCTTCCCATATAGTACTTTTATCTTCTTGAGTACCACTTAATACGTTTAGTTTTTAGTTTGGCATATCAGATAACACTTGCTCATCAGGAAAAAGTCTTAAGGCTTATATTAGCTTATAAACATATAAATTATATAAATTTTCTAAAAAATATAAAAGACCATATATCCAACCTCTCAAAATGAGAAAATTATAAAAAGCTATGTAAGATACAAAAAGGTATGTACAAATTGTTAATATGAATAAGGTTTATAAGTGTTGACAATATGTAAACAAACTTATATCCAACCTCCTAAAATGAAAAGATATTAAAAGAACTTTGTATTTTAACAAGAGTAATATAGTTTTATAATGTATACAATCTAATGCAAAGCTTTAAAAGTAGTATGTATATTGTTAAACATTATTATACTTTATAAGAGCTTTACAAGGCTTTAAAATAGTTATAATATTTTACAATCCAGGTGTTCATTTATTTCTCCTTTTTTCCTCTTATAATTAAGTATTTACATTTTAATACACTTGTATTGATTTATTTCTACTACATTTCATTCTAATAATATTGTACTTGTGAAACAATCATACAGACACAAAAATAAATAACAGAGAAGGAAAG